TAATTATAAAACTAGCTGATATAAAATATATTAAAAATTATTTTATTATATAAAAACAGATTAAACTATAATTAAATCTATTTCTTTATTTAATTAAGATAAGAGTTGGGGTATTTTTCTTGGATCCTCTTTGCTTCGTCAAAGATATTACTAATAGCGTGAGAGTACTGTCTATGAAATATATGTGAACTCATCATTCTCCATGACCGCATCTATCAATACGTGAATTTTTTAGATCCAAAAGGCAATCACACCATAGCCATGGGTTGCCTACAAATTCGTCCTGCAGCTAAAAGGGTTGTTGTATGAACACACCACGTATAACTACTCTTCCTACAAAGACTGAAAAGATATTAGAAGCTATTCATCATATCTTAAAATCAAATACAAAGCAATTGTTTCTAAGTTGAATTTGCATTAAAAAAATCAATCTAGTTAAATCATAGAATAAACAACTATTACAAGTCCAATTCATGTCCCACCAATTTTGGCCATAAACCAAGATAATTAGATACTTATCTTATAAATGATCGTGGTGACTTGAATAAATCCAAATACTAGACTAATAAAATTGGAAGCTGACAAATGCAATATTCCAAAAATTAAACTTTACATGGTAGAAGAAAGATTGGAATTTTGAAGGTTTCAGCCTGTCTATGAAATTATAAAGTTAGCTATTATATGATGAGGAAGAAATTTACATAAATTTAGGAAGACTTCTCTTATATATGTCCATTGTCGCATTACTTGTGGCGAGAAAGACAACTCAAAGCATATTTATGAAGTTAAAAACAATAGTTTTAAGCTTTTGTCACAATGCCCTAACCTCTATCCATTATCCAAAACGTGCACACAAATGAATCTTTAGCATTAATGGCTAAGTATATTTGTCCATAATCAACAAATCTACTTTCTGTGTTCCAGAATAATGTTAACAGTCTGGAACTTCCATGAGAAATGAACATAATGTACAAAAAGTAATTTGCTGTGCATGGTTTGCTTCATTTGCAAGAAAGAGTGGCATAAAAATTAAATATCAAATTTCTTTATCATGTTCATGAATTCCATAACCTTCAATAGACATTTTATATGGGGTGACTCCAAATTATCTTTAATTAAAGAGAAAAGATCATCACGTCCTCTTTATTGCAGAAACAGTGATAATATGAAGTCCATGACAAAAAGTTTACTATATTAAATTGACAATACTTAAAAAGTTGTCTCTTAGAGACTGCCTAATATCTTCACGGGAGAGTTGTTTTGCAACTTGCCCATGGAAAAGAGGTGTTTAGGTAAAGTAATATTCACTTGCTAATTAGCTCCTCTTAATTATATGTGTGTGATCTAATCATAGATTTGTTAAGCAATTTCATTTCCTACGCATCAAAATCAAAAAATAGTCTCAAGTAAGCCTAAAAACGTTATCAATTGGTATAAACAAGGTATTCAATAAAATCCTCCAGCAGATAAAATTTCGATTTCCATTAGGTCTTAGATTCATTTGAATCCTGAAAAAAAAAAAAGTTGAAATTTTTGAATATTTAAAAGGTCCAATGGTAGAGTTAGTTTATGTGGTCATCTTTTTTTTTTTTTTTTTTGACATTTATGGTCTCAATTTAAAATGCTTTTTGCATGTATGAAAGGTATAATTGAAGAGTAATTAATTAAGCTGTGCGTACAACTTTTAAAACAGTGGATAGAAAGGAGATGGTGGTAGAGAGAAAGAGAATCATAAATAGTGCACGTAATATACATAAAGAAAAGGTTAAAAAGAAAGGTAGGACATTGTTTTATCTCCTGAAAATCCGCTCATGATATCTTCTTGTCGGCTACATTTCAACATTCAAGTTAACCTATAGTTATCAAAAAAAGAAAAAGAAATCAAGTTAATCCTAACTCCCCCAATCAAAGCAACATGTTGTTGTTTGCATAATTTTGGAGTGGGGTCTGTTAAATTATGCAAGAATATCCGAGACACCCATGCTTCTGGATAGTTTAGCATGATTTATTGGCATGAAGTTTTAGTTGATCTGGTTTAAGAAACAATTTAATAGCTGATTAAAAGTTGAATGCAATTTGACTCTAATGTATTTTAAAAAAAATAATGAATTTAGTTTTGATTGACACAAAAACTGATTTGAAAATAATTCATTATTTGTAAATAAATTAAAAAAAAAAAAGGCATAATAGATAAATAGATTTATTCTCTATATTTATATTTCAATATATAGAATCTTAAAAAAAAAAAAAAAAAAAAAAAAAGAAGTCATTATAATTAATATTGTGAGACAACCTACTTAAAATTTCATGAAAAAGGAAAGTTTTTACTTAAAAAAAAGTGATCTTTGGAATACCTTTATTTCTGAAAAATTATGTGAATATTTGATATAGAAATCCTGATATATATATATATATATATATATGATCATAACACAGTCAAGCTGCAATAATACATGATACAAAAAATGAAGTGTAAATAGTGCCCACAGCAAGTTTAGCTGAGATTTCTTTTCATGAATATTTTTATCCTTTGTATACTGTGTTAAGGTCAGCATTTTTAACGCGGCTTGAAGACCAATTGCAAATAAGGTGGAAATCAGTGTGCTTAAGAGCACTTCAGTTCACATTAATTTGATTGCTCATTTCATTTGCATAAAATATTTTGAGTTCAATAGAACTTCAGCTCAAAATTCAATGTTAACATTATGGTTAAAAGTTGATTATGACATTGATTTCATTTATATAATTTTTTTCAACAAAACAAATAAGAGATGCAGCCATCAGAAATTCGTTCTCTTCCTTTCTTCTCTCCAGGGTTTCGAGAGTTTCTTGAATTTTTTTTTAGCTACCGTAGTCGGTGATAGCATTTTTTTATTATTATTATTTTTCAATAATTTCGGATTGAAACTTTATATCTTTAAATTTGATGTTTTTTACTTTGTGATATCTAATTTATCTGGGCTTTTTAGCTTTTTCTTTCTTACTCCTATGAATTTTTAGTAGAGGTTCATTTTCTAGATTTGAATTGATTGAAGCAGATTTGATGGAAAACAGTGCTCATTAAGAGAAGAAAATATCTACGAGGTGCCGCTAGATCTAATTAAGATTAATCTATAACTCTTTTCTTTTGTAGTAAGTAATTATTTTTTCTTTAATTTTTCTTTTTCTTTAAATGTATTTTTTTTATTTGTCTTGTGAGCCATTTAAAGCTATAAAATCCACTTTGAATTCCTTTTTTATCAGTAAAATTTCTTATCTTTGGCCAAAAAAAACAGAAAAAAAAAATTTAGAGATGCAGCCAATATTGAAATTTAACATGTGTACTAGTTCATGCATCAAATTATTACCTATGGAATGTTAATTAAAACTTCATTATGCATATGTTGAATGTTTACATTCTTTCTAGGTCTTTAATTTGTTCACCAACTTTCTATTATGTTCAAATGATACATTTCTATAGAAAAAAGATAATAATAATCGGCATTATATGCTTGGTTCTCCCCTCTTCTCCCCCCACAACAATCATTTACTATGTTCTTTTCATCTAGCCATCTGGGCAACAGGGATTTATTCAAATCAAATCCTCAACTTTAAATAAGATCAAATTAATCCCTCTACGTACTCTAATTACATTGGAAGGTAAATCGAGCCCTTCATCCAAATCAATTAACAATTAAACGGTCAATTGAACATCGTGTGTAAAGGATCTCAAATTATATTTAATCAGAAGGGCACAATATTGATCTCATAAACTGAAAGCTCACATACATATATTTATCTTTCTTCTCTCTCTTTTTCAAAATGATATCTTTTACGAAAATATTTCCATTACTTTAGGACTTTTCGTCATCCACTTAGTGATTTAGAAGCCGTTGCTTCCAAAAGTAAATGTAATTAATAAATTGAGAATAAAGTTAATGAATTTGTGCTGTAATTAATTAATTAATTAACGTTACTGAGGAGCTATATCAAGATACAAAAGTTAATGACGGTAGTGGAAGAAAATGAAGATTTCTTTAAGAGACTGGTACTTCTGCATTTTCTTGATCGTAGTCTCTTTTCTTTTTTTCTTTCTTTTTCCTAAAAAAACTTAAAATATTAGGTAACCATAAAATATAAATGATGTAGTTTATGAAATACTATATATGATAATACCAAATTGTATTCTGCAATAATGAAAAGATGACTTTTTTGCTGCTCAGATTGGAATTTAACCTGAATACCCCATTGAGCACGTTAATTGAGGACTACTCTGCCCCAAAACTATTATGATAAGGAAGTTAAACTGCACTAAGCTTAGATTAAGGATTTAATAACATTCCTTCCAGTTACCTGATTAATTTTTATATCATTTTCCTTTTCTTTTAGGTATTGACCAAATACGCTGTCCGCCCCTTTGTCCTTCCATCTTATCATTGATATTGTGCACTCCTATGACAATGTATTTTGTGAAAAAATGTGAGTATGGGTCAAATTCTATGATCCTATAGCCTAATAAAACAACTAGAGAAGAAATATAGTGTTTTTTTTTTTAGAATTATAATATCTATTGGATTTTTTATTCATTAATTAATCATTTATTTTCTTTAATCTTTCTATTCTAAGGCATGAGCAAAATTTCCTCATATATATTTATATATAGTTCACAAAATGATGGATTTAATTTTGATTAAAATAAAAATTAATAAAAAAATACTTTATTATTTATAAATACATATATATAGTTTAAAACTATTCTAGGATTCTCTTTATTAGTGAGTCTCAATTTTTGCATGTCATTTTCTCTAACCCCACCACTAATCTCTCTCTCTCTCTTTCAATCTCTAAAACCAAACAAACTTGGGCCAAAGGTTGACAAGAAAGAAAGGGAAAATAAAGACTTCTTAAAAGACAAATCAAGCAATATATCTTTTAAAACTTCAGCCATTAAGTGCAAAGCTTTCCCACATAAAGTGTGGATATAAACCATCTCAGAAGAGGATTCAAGGGATTCCCACAAGATGGGTTTATGGAACTACCATGTAGAGGACAAAAATCTTTGCTTTCAAGCTCCAAATTTCATTGAATGGCTCAAGCCAACTTCAACATCTCCTTCTCCTTCTTCATCTTCTTCTTCTTCTGTAAGTACTCAACAATTTCAGCTTACAGACCCCATCAACATACTAAAACTTCCAATAAGCTTGTTCCCTCAACAGGAAGAATCAATGAAAGAGACAATTCAATGCTTGCCTCTGCTAAGCAGGTTTACAGAGAAGAAGACACTAAAAGAGGAAGAAGACATGGAAGTGCAAAAGAGTACTGCTGGAGTTAAAGAAGAGAAGATAGAGAAGGTCACAGTGGCTCTGCACATTGGATTGCCTAACAGTGGAGATTCTGAAGTTGATACTGAGGTTTTTGACCTCAAGGAAGAAATATCCATGAAGAAAAAATTTCAAGGATATTCTTTCAACTCAGAGAGTAGGTTTTGGATCCCAACTCCGGCACAGATCCTTGTTGGGCCCATGCAATTTGCTTGCTCTATCTGCAGCAAGACCTTCAATCGGTACAATAACATGCAGGTTAGTAAATTAATTCTCAGTAATCTCTCTTTCTATCTTGTTTATATATTATGTACAAATTAATCTTCTCTTTGGCCTGCCCATGAAGGATTCAAGTATAGATTCGGTAGCAAATGTTTTCTATTTAGTTATCGTGGACTATATGAATTCATTCTTTTTTATTTTATTTTTCTTTTCTTTTTGCCATGAATATGCACATCATTTGGAATCGTAAGTTCTTCAATTATTTTCTTCTACCTTTTTTTATATTGGTAACAGGAAAAAATGTTAGTAATGGGTGTTTTTCTCATACTTCCCCAGTTTCATATTGTTTGTAGAGTTTGATGCATACCTCATGCATCATAAACTTAATTTGTTGCCAGGGAGAAAATTTGGGGAAAGTAGTTCTAAATTGTACTTTTTGTAGGGACAAGGACAACTAACAAACATAGTTTATCTGTGGAAAAAATAGGAAAAAGATGATATATACTTGAATCAAGAATTATTTGAACCAAGAAGGCATGATAAATAAACTTAAATTCCTTGAAATAAAAAATGAAGCAGTGCAAAAGTACTTAGGATTATATCATAAGACTTCTTTTGGTAAAGAGATTTTTCCCTTGAGGTAAATATTTTAACATTAATAAGTTAATGATATTTGATGATTCTAGACGAAACCAGTCATTTGGTCTCCTGAAGTAGAAGGAAATTAGAAATTCGGCCAAATAGTATAAATTTCAGGCGAGAAGTTTCTTTCATATCTTCAAACAACCTTAAGGAAATTTGGTACTTCTGTCATATTTATGTTCTTTCCACCTATATTTCCGTTAATTGAACCTAACCTTATCAGCAGTACTCTATCCCCTCGTCCATTATTAATTGGGAGAAAATCTTATAAAATGCAAGTTAAGTTATCTATTTAAAAAAAAAAAAAAATGCCAAAAGGATCCATTAAGCACCAGGCAATTAGCTTGGAGAAAAGCTATAGCAGTTAAAGCAGAATAGGATGCCAGCTCAGACAAGAAACATAAATAAATTGATCAAATTAAAGGCAGCAGTTTCTTTCTTTATATATATACATATAAGCTTCTAGCTAATTGGATCTTCCTTATATTTCCCATATGATCATCTGTTCTGTTTTCTGATCAGTATTTTGTTGATAAGTACTAATCATAAGATAAAAATATTATAAAGGAGCGAAGTGTACAATGCCCTTTTCACCTAAGCAAAGGTTTCTTCTATCATTGCATCCCCTTTGGGTGGAAAAATAAAAAGTTAATTGAGGTAAGTGGAAATTTGGTAGCCTTTATAAAAAGATGGGACGAGAAGTTGAAAAATGATTATAGGGCAAGATAAACAATACAAGCATGCAGTAGTAAAATTGTCTAAAGATATAAAGAGAAGTTGGGGATCAAGCTGGTTGCTACTTTGGATACCCTTCCTTTAATTATGATTCTCAACTTTTAATTAATTTATGAGTAATGATTCACAACTTTTGGCTAGAAGAAGAGCAATGAGTACTAAGTGAATTTTTACTCGTGCAGTAAGTTAATTAAGAGAAAATTAGGCAGTAAACCGTTGTTCTAGCAGGAGTGAAATCAAGTGGTCGTAGTTAATTTCTTTCTTCTTCTTTTTTCTTGTGCGCAGATGCATATGTGGGGGCATGGGTCCGAGTTTAGAAAGGGACCAGACTCACTTAAAGGAACACAACCAGCCGCAATGCTGAGGCTACCATGCTATTGCTGTGCACAAGGGTGCAAGAACAACATCAACCATCCACGAGCTAAGCCATTGAAGGACTTCAGGACCCTTCAAACCCATTACAAAAGGAAGCATGGTGCTAAGCCATTTATGTGTCGAAAATGCAGCAAAACATTTGCGGTTAAAGGAGACTGGAGAACACACGAAAAGAATTGTGGCAAGCTATGGTATTGTACTTGTGGCTCTGATTTCAAGCACAAAAGATCACTCAAGGATCACATTAGGTCTTTTGGCAAAGGTCATTCTCCTCACCCATCTCTTGAAGGTTTTGAAGATGAGAAGGAATGCATCACTGGATCTGAAGACGAATTTGCTCATTAGTACGCGAAAAACAAAAAATACTGAAGCTTTTTTTTTTTTTTTTCAATTTTCTGCTTGATTTGGTGTTTGAAAAATTAGCCCTAGCTACTAGGCTTATTTAAGCTTGTGCTCAGTAACAAAAAATTCTCAAGAACATGCATGAGGCACACAAGGGAGCGGTTTGCTACGGAGCACTGGCTGGGCGATGAGCAGTACTAGTAACTTTAGACGACAGTTTGCATGCAATGGAATAAATTGATTATCTCAAGTAGTGGTGAAGTAGATGAATTTTCTTCTCTTTAAGTTGCTATGTTGAAGCTTTGTTGGCATCACTCTAATGGAGAAAATTTGTTTACATCATTGCTAATTATTGTAATCTTAATTAATACAAGGATTTTATTGTTGTTTGTGTTCTTGTTAATTATGTTGTATTTGGTTAGTCTAATGTTCATGTTTTTTCGTCTTAATTATATCTCCTCCTGATCTTATAGAATATAATTACATAAATAATTAAACCCAACTCTAATTGATTATAATATTTTAGATTGCTAATTGGCTACATTGATCAACTGGTGAAAATTAAATTACAGCTAGCTTGTTCAGAAACTTAAGATTTGAAAATTGGTACTGTCATCTAATGTCTTCATCTATTTTGATGCATATGCATGCATGAAAGAACTTAAAGAAGACTATGTATAATTACCCTTCTCATTTTGGGCTGGCAAGGAAAACTTTCCATGTACGTAATTTTTGTAAATTAGATATTTATGAATGTTATGCTAAATCCACTAAAAAGAAACTTAATTTCATCTCTCGTTTTAGCTTGAAAGCTTGAAATTTCATCCATAATTAGATATTTAACAGTGTGATTTGGCTTGATTCCTGTCTCTCTCGTTTACATATTTTTAGCTTGAAAGCTTGAAATTTCATCCATAGTTAATTTCTGTAAAAATTGAATTTGTATTTCTATTCGTTTTTATTTTTTTATCATTGAAGAATATACTAACAATAGCAATCTTAAAAATGTTTTTTTTTTTCCAATAGAAATTAATACTTATTTAAATATTAGATTTGATTATTTTTGTTTATAATATTGTTTAATTATAATGATCGAATCTTATACCATTCTATACCTTATTGATTTTTTTTAGCAAAAAATATATGACTACTTATTTATCTTTTTATGATAAAATATAGGTATTCCTTTGTGTGTGTATAATTATGATTAATGTGATTAAATGTTCATTCATGGTGCTTCTAACCCAGAACCAAGAAAGAAAAAAAAAAAAAAGGATTATAGAGACTCACCATGAGTTGAGGGAAAAAGCCAGAAATGGTGGAGAGAAAAAATATGCAGGAGAGAGCTAAGAAAGTTTAATGGCAGAAGAGAAATTTCCTTGCAATTACTTATTAATCGGGGTTATGTTTGTCAACAAAAAAATAATTAATTGTTCAATTTTCTTATAATATGTAATTTAATTAGAGAGAAATTAATTCCATATGAATGTGTGCTAATATAATTAGTTGGAGGACTATTGATGCTCTTTAGCAAGTGCAATTGGACACTTCTTAGGAAAACCCCATTATTTTGTTGTTGTTGCTCCTGATGTTACAAAGAAAAAAAGGGTGTTAATTATCACACAAAAAAAGGTATTTAAAGTAACTTTCACACAAAAAGTTTGCATCATTACCCTTTGTTTCCTTTGTTTTGTTGGTTATCTAAGGGCCCAAAGACAAAGAAAAAGAGTTTTCTATTTTCACGAAGAAAACTCTAGAGCTTAAAAAATAAAAAAAACCACATCCAATGGAATATGATATATATAGTAAGTTTTCTTTTAAGTTTGGAGTATTAATAAGTTCAAATTATGTATTGCCAATCGTAAAATCGTTGGGACCTCTCTGTTTGACCGAAAATGAAGCATAAAATTATTCACATTTAATTAATAATTATATTTAAATTTAAATTTTATATAATTCATGCAATTCGATAAATTATCAGTAAATAATATAAACTTATTTTTAAAATCTCGTCTCATATTTTTTAAATTTTTAGGTTAAGATAACTTTTTGACATAAATCATTAATAATCCCATAACATTTCCAATTCTCTAAAAGGTATTCCAAGTAATATTGCGTAGAAATCAAACACTAGTGTCAAATTGCTTGAATTTTTCTTAGTCCAATGGTCCTAACTAGATTAGGTAAATACTTTTTTTCTTTTTTCTTGTTTTTTTTTCTTTTTTAATTTGACAACAAAATCTATCCAATCAAATTCATCTTTTCCTGCATTTTATTTTATTTAAAACAAAAACCTTTTTTTCAGTTACTCAAACTCTTCATGTATTTCTTTCGAGGAAAACTCCATTTTAATTTTTGACATATTGTAGTGGTCAATATCTAAAGTACGCACCCCCTTTTTTAGACTGATGCTGCATAATGAGCTATATATTCTGCTGTGTGACTCTATTTTCAAAGCCAAGACATACGCAAGTTTGCAAGAGTCCAACCCGGAGGCCACACCGAATCATAATTCAAACAACCGAGTATATCATCAACTAGAGAATGATTAGGCATTAATTAAGCTTGAGAGGTGGTGAAATTCTGTAATCTTAGTCTTACATGGAGGACTGACTTTATACTTATATATACACATGAACCCTAAATTGGAAAAGGAAAGAAAACCAAACCACAAAAAGGGTTTGGGTTTGCTTATAGGTGTGAATATAAGATATGCGCCATGACTTTTCACAGAGAAAACATAAGCGTATGATGGATTATATGACACCCGAACACATTTACACAGGGAGTTGAAATAGAGTTTCTTTTGAGGCAGCCAGGCTAGCTAGGCTTGACCAACGGAAAAGTTGAAGGGGAAAATGGGAGAGGGGCCGTGTTTTGAATATTTTTTTTGTAGATAAGGACCTCCCACTACTCTTTGTCGGGAGTGAAAAGGAAGAGATTTAAATGGTGATGAGAAAAATACTCTTCCTTTCTCTTTTTTCTCTTTAACTTCATTGTTTGAGCTTGGACTTAGCTATTCAATCCTCATTTTCTATTCTTTGATTGCTAGTACTCGTGGCTATCTAAATTGCTTGAGAAAGACGAGATTTTTAAACTTGAATTTGGCCATTCTTTTTTTTTTTTTAATTCTTAGAATATCCCAAACCTTGAAATCAAAATTATATTTTTACTATTTGGTCGGATGTACGTTTAAAACAAATATAACTATTTTAAAAAGATTTCTGTCAAAATAAAAATTTAAAATTAAAATCATTTATTTAAACTTAAACTAATAAAACTCTTTTGCTGAAGTCAAATTTTTTAATAAAACTACTGTTTCCGTTTTGTTGCTTCATGCTAGCTTGAGGTTTGATACAAAACCTGTTTCTTGCGTCTTTAGTGCGTGTTTGTTGATCAAGGTATTACTATGTATGAGTAAATTATAAATTAGTCGTTTTGAAAAATGAATTAATTAATTCTATTTATTAAATGGATATTCTGTAAAGATTATAAGTAAAAAGTACTTTTTAAAAAAATAAAAAAATATTAAATTAATTATGATCAATACTAATTAAATAATTAATTTTGAAATAAAGAGATTAATTATTTGAATAGAACTATTTAAATAAATTTATGTCTATACAAAGATTCAAAATCAACATAACTATCAAAAAATGTTTTTATTTATACAAAGATTTAAAATCAAAACTATTTATTTAAACGAATACAACTCTCTTGCTGAAGTCGAATTTTTGAATAAAACTATTGTTTCCGTATTGTTGCTTAATGCTAGCTTGAGTTTTAATACAAAACCTGTTTCTTGTGTCTTTAGTGCGTGTATGTTGATCAAGGTACTACTATGTCTGAGTAAATTATAAATTAGTCGTTTTGAAAAATAAATTAATTAATCTCTTTCTTTCAAAACTAATTATTTAATTAGTATTGATCATAATTAATTTAATATTAATTTATTTTAAAAAACGTATTTTTTACTTATCAATTTTTACAAAATATCTATTTATTTTTGTCTTTATAAGGATTTAGAAATCGAAACCACTTATTTAAATTAATAAAACTCTCTTGCTGAAGTCAATTTTTTGAATAAAACTACTGTTTCCGTTTTGTTGCTTCATGCTAGCCTGAGCTTTAATACAAAACCTGTTTCTTGTGTCTTTAGTGCGTGTATGTTGATCAAGGTATTACTATGTCTCAGTAAATTATAAATTAGTCGTTTTAAAAAATAAATAAATTAATTTTATTTATTTAAAAAAAACAGATATTTTGTGAAGATTGATAAGTAAAGAATACATTTTTTAAAAAATAAAATAATATTAAATTAACTATGTTCAATACTAATTAAATAATTAAATAACTAATTTTGAAATAAAGAGATTAATTAATTGATTGTCATTTTCCTTTATGTTAATAATATTTGAAAACTGTATTATTATAATCGATGGTTAATTAACTCAAAATTAATATACCAAAGATGAGCAACGCTTAGGTCATACAAAAAATCCACGCAATTGTACTTACATGTCCTAACAAATTAAGGACCATTATATTCAATAAATAATTAATTATCAAGTGAAGTTTAGTTTTGGTAACCTTTTTTTAGAATTATTTAACCTTTTTTTAGTCAGCTTTTATAATTAAGCTGATCAACAACTTCAGAAAAGTGACAATATGTCCATACAGACAACGATACAAGAATCACTTTGGTCTAAGAAAGAATTAATAAACCACCTACCTGGATTTGGTTTGAATTCATCGAATATATATATATATATATAATGAAGGAAAATCCAAAAGAAGTTAATTATATGGACCGCCACATTAGGATTTTATATTAAATAAAAAATGAACGCTGAATATTAAATCCAGGTTTTACAAAAAAAAAAAAATGACTTGTTCAACCGAGCAACCATATTATTAGAAAATTAATTATAATAACGACGGCCAAAATAAGCTAGAGCTTATATTATCCATTAGTTGTAAGAAAAATATAATTATAAAGGGCCAACTGCAAAGCAAAAAAGGCCACGTTCGACTAAACCAGTAAGGCCCACGAGATGACCTCTGGCTTCAACTTGGCATAGTGTGATGCAGACTTGCAGAAGCCCTTTTTCTAGTCTTCTGGATAAGAGAATCCAGGAGCAATTTCAGAATTGCTGCTTTTGGAGAAATTTCATGGGCTGGATCAAAGAAAAAAGCCTCTGCTGATGGGCCTCAAGACCAGACGAACTGCGATGTCCATGGGCCAAAAGTTACCCTATTGCACAAATTATATAAAGTAAATGTTATTTCCAATGTTTACAATATATTTTGTGTTTCAAAATTAAATGTCTCTCTCCTCATATTTCGGGATCAGAGCAGAACTGTTGCTTCATCTTAGATTCGTGAAAGCTATTACTTCGTCTTTTTCTTCTTAAAAAAAAATAAAAAAATATCTTCAAATCAATCTATACATCAATCAAAATCAAATTAATTATTAAAATTAAGTTTTCTCTCAAATAAATTTAAAGTCACAACACTCTGTCTACTTATTGTAGAAAATATTTTTAAAACTTTATCCAACTGTTTAAGTTTTTAAGTTGATTTTTTTTTTTTTTTGAATTATTCATAGCCTCGAAAGCTCAACCATGACAAGGCATTTGAAGTGTTTGATCGTTCAATGGTTTCCCTTGGCCCTGAAAAAGGACTAGTTGGTTTGGAAATTGAGAGGCTAAACAAGCAGCTGAAACTGCAACAGCCAGTGCCAACTGCCCACTCACCCAACCAAAAACCATGAACTGAAGCAGAAACCCATCAACATACAAAGCACAGGGTCATGTTTTTGAGCACTTGTGCCTGTCTCCCTGCGACAGCACTTGGGAGTTTGGGACTCGTACGTGTGCATCCAGGGCACACGAAAAGGTAAACCCATGGTTTTTATACACTTTTTGTATCAAACCAGTGGTTTTTCGTACCTGCACCGAGAAAAATAATGATCATCCCTTGTTTTTCTCTTTCTTCTGAGAATATGTATCATTATTGAGTGTTAAAGAAGGGATAAAGTATGCAGATCTTGTAACTTTACCAAAAAATAAAAAAAAATCCAGATCTCATTTGTTTGGAAAAAGACATATTATCCTCCAACTATATCTAACTCTCAATCGTATCCCTAATAAGAAAATCCCCAACACACATTATCCAACTAATCCAACATTCAAATTTATGAGAAAAAAAGATTAACTTTTAAGCTTACATAGGTCCAAGCTTTTAGGATTTCAAGAGGGTAATGTCCAAAAGATAAGGAATCGAATTGAACAATGTTTTTGTTTAGGGATCGAATTGAGAATTGTGTGATAGTTTGGAGAAAATTTCTGCTTTACTTTTTTCACCACCCGATCCGTATTGGGATGAGGAGAAAAGGAATCAACGGACCACGACAGAAACCAAAGCAAAAACAAGTGACTAATAATATTGGTTAGAATTGAAGTAAAACCATCAAACTCTACCCTGCAACTCCTGGGGCTGTCTCTCTATCCAACCACTCCAAAATCCCTATAAAAATGAAACAAACTCTCACTAATTTGAAGAAGCAAAACCTACCCAAATTTCCTCTAGGAGCAACTAACTTCTTCCACTAATTAGCCAGCATTGATTTTGTTCACCTATCTCTTACAATGTCGAAGAATGTTGTTGCTCAATCTCCTCTTCAGAGAAATAGCTTAGCTTCACTTGACCAAAAGCTGGCCATGGCAAAGCGCTGCTCTCATGGTACTTGTTTCTCATGCTACTCAATTTGTCTAAATGTCAGTTCTCATTTTTGTTTCCAAATTTGTAAACCTAATTTGTTTCTTATGGATCAACAGAAGGAGTGGTTGCAGGAGCTAAAGCAGCTGTTCTTGCTACCGTTGCCACTGCCATTCCAACTGTAAGCTTATCTTCTTTGTAACTTTCATTAATCCTTTAAAACCAAACAAGAGAAAAAGAATTCTTAAGTGTATTGTGTTTAACATTAACATGTAGATGGCTAGTGCAAGGATGTTGCCATGGGCAAGAGCCAATCTGAATCACACAGCTCAAGCTCTCATAATTTCAACTGGTAATTAATTAATTAATTAACTATCCAAATTAAACAAGCATTATATACCCTCGTGATTATCGTAAATTTCTTCTTTTATTGATGAAATTATACATTTCCTCGCAGTTGCTGGAGCTGCATATTTTATAGTTGCTGACAAGACTATTCTGGCCACTGCAAGAAAGAACTCCTTCAAGACTCCCTCTAACATGAAGGCATGATGACTTAAATATTAACCTATGGTCTTCATTTTTGGACCTTCTTTGTAGTTCTCCAAGTTATTTACCCATCAGGCAATTATAATTGTAAACCATCACCTATATGTATGCATAAATAAATAAAGATGGACTTTACGTTTTTAGCATATGAATTATTATTATTATTATTATTAGTATTATTAGTATTATCTAGATATGTTTCCAGATAATAGTATTTAGCCTATGGATAAAGATGCCTCTTGTTTATTTTTTTCCTTGTTATTTATTTTTTCATAGTTCTAGGTGGTAATAAGATAAAAAAGGAGCCTGGTCCAGGCCCATTTCTGCTCAGGGAGAGATTTCATGGGCTGATTTTAAAAAATGCTCCTGCTGATGGGCCTCCGAGTATTAATATCACAACAAGAAATAATCCCTCGAATCAGCATTAGGATGCCCATGGGCCAAAGTGGAGCTTTTGACTGCTACTTTATTTTTTATTTTTGTTTTTGGTTTTTGTAGTGGATTGGTAAGTTTGCAAAGAAAATAAGCAGACAGATAGAGTAATTACAACGGCACCGTTTTTACTACCCAGTTCTCAAGTCTGTTTTTTCTCATGTTCACAAACCTCAAAATTATCACTACAAATCCCATTCCATTGGATTGGCATCACTAGAGAAGATAAATCAAATGATTCCCTTTCCCTTTTTATTTTTTTGTCCAAAATAATTGGATGCTTGATCTACTATATAAAATTTTATCTTCAGTCTTCCACAATTTATGTAACACTTAAGAATTACATAAAGTATGAAGAGAACAAAAACCACTTATCAACTTGAGAAAACTTTTATCTTAAATTCTTAATTTTTTTTGTAGAATTAAAATTTTGTTTTCGAATAACAATTAAACAAGGTACAAAGAAGGTCTAAATCTTACATATAGACTTGAGAATTGAATCATTACTTAATTAACAGCACAGAAACACTATTATCGATTAAAGATGAAAACAACTCCTTAACCAATTAATTAGTATGCTAATGAGCATTATTAGTATATGCTAGTGAGTTATAATTCAACTAATATTATTACCCCTTCTATAAATACAAGACATCGATTTTGAATATCTTTTTTATAATAATAAAATTAATACAAGATCAAGGGACACAATCTATGCCTAAAAGACTTGTTTTAATTTGGTAAAAAACAATGTTGAATTCTCATCACTCATGAATAATTAAATATAATTATTTTTGAATAATGTTATATTTGAGCTGGTTTGATATAAAAAAATAACTTAGTAATCGACCCTATATTAGATTTATCCATATTAGATTTATCCTTACGCCGGTTTAGTCTAAAAAATAATAGATTTAGTTTATATTGATGGGAAGACATAATACTCCGTCATTTTTAAATATATATAAAAAAATTTAAAAATTGAAAATAAAATTAGATGATATTATTAAGTGGGATTAAGTTTTCACACGATTATTTTTGTGAAAACGATTTTTTTTTTTTTATGATAAAACGTGTTAGACTCTGAAAAAATATTTTGTGCAAACAATTTGTAAACAAAATTAGAAGTAGGATTAGATCTTCTAAAATGGACCGGGGGGGATAAATGCTAGGCGGACTTTACCTCCAACATTTATCCATCAATTATTTGTGGATGCACTAATATTAAATGATTAGTGTGCCTTGAAAATATAACTCTGCCGCTTAATGCTCCAGGAAAGGAAGAAGCTGCCAAGTTGCAAAAGAGAAAGAAACCATGCTCCAATAGGCTCATGCTGAGACTAAGAAATTAACTAGGTGAACTCCATAACATGCATTGTAGGCTCCGTTTTATTGATAGAATAGAAAACAACGTTTATAAGAAAATCAATTTCTAAAAAAATTATTTTTTCAAAAAACATTTTCTGCTGCTTGGTAATTACATAAAAAAATATTTGAAAAATATATTCCAATATTTGTTTGATATAGAAAATTAAAATACAAAAATAATATTTGATTGTTACATCAAGTTTTGAGAAAAACTTTAAAAAGACAAATTCATAATTTCACAATATAAGATACATTTACAAAGATTTAATAAATTTTCATAAATACTTACTCTAAAATTTTAATTCAAAAAATAAAATATACTTTTTTAACCATCAAACCAATTCATCAAAATTACTTGAGACAAAATCAAGTCAATATTCACATTTAGTGTAAAACAAAAAAAAATTCTAAGTAACCCTAGTATTGTTATTTTGGTAACTCAATTAAGATTTTTTTTTTGAAATTGAACTAATAATTTAGTTTAAAAAATAGTTTCATAAATTATTAGTTATCATTTGTATATAGTTATTCATTTGGCTTCAAAAGATTAATGTTGAAATAATTTGTAACCAATTATTCATTATAATTACCAACAAAATTTTACAACTGATTAAGATTACAAATTATTGATTTAGTTGCAAATGAATAGTGTTGAAAAAATAAGATATTTATTAATGAATTAATTAATTTTAATTTTTTTTACAAAAAATTAGAGTCTTGTAACAATCATTTCCAATCATTTAAATATAGTTTAGGTGATGTTTGCGATAATAGTAAAAAAATAGATATAAATTATTGAAATATTTATTATAAAAATATTTTAATGTGTAAAAATGATTTTTTAAAATATTTAATGTATATGTAAATAAAAAAATCAAATATTATTCGAAATAGACAAAAAATAATTAAATAATTGATAAGAAATAATTAAAAAATAATTTGATATATTTTAAATAAAAGAAGTTAGAGAAAAAAATTGTTAAAATATATCGAGAGAAAGATAAGCAACTCGAAAGCGAGATAGCTCGGAAGAAGGAAAATATTTTTCTCTTTTTAACCGAGAATCTATTTTCTCAAAAATACTCTATCATTTTCCATTGACTGAAAATCCTATTGACTTTTTTTTCTAAACGCTAAGCAAACACTGAAAAATAGAAAAAAAAAAGTTTTTAAAACTTGTTTTCTCCCAAACAAACATAGCGTTGTAACAATTTAGAACACCATCTGTCAACTTTTTTCCTAACTTGACTAGTGGCAAGTTATTACATCTAGGGGTGATCATTCGGTTTTTCGGTTCGGTTTCGATGTTTTTTTTTTTTTTCGGTTTTCAATTAACCAAATTGGTTAAAACAAAAACCGAAACCGAATCGAATTGAGGTTCGGTTTTTCGGTTAAAAACCCCTTTTTTTTTTTGCTTTTTTCTTCTAAAAATCAAATTATTTTGCTTTTAAAAAATATCAAACTTGCATAATCAAATATTGCATATTTCACATTTGATTTTATAAGAAAATTGTGTATGATTATTATTATTTTTCTATACTAAATTTGTTTCTATTTATATAATAAACTAAATTAGTTGGGCTTCTCATTATTTTTTTAATCACGCTATAATTGATTTTTTATTAATTTTTTATATTCTTTTTTTAATCTATTTATTTTGTGCATGTTTTATTTTTGAATATATAATATGAAAAATCCAATTTTTAATTTATGTTTGTGCCAATTTTAATACAAGGAAACAATTTTTTTTTTAATGAGGTTTTAGGATTCACCCACACATAAATTTTTGTATTTATAAAAAATTACTTTATCACGATCTCTTTTTTGTATTTTTTTGTGAGTCAATATAATATAATCAATTATTTTATTATTTCAATAAATAATTAATGGAAAATATTTCTATTTTAAGTAGAAAAAAATCATTAAAGCTATTTTTTTTTAGTTAAACCCATAGGCGCCTCTTTGATTTTAAAAAAAAGAGCTTGGGTATGAGTTTTAAAAAAGAAAACTAATTCGGTTTTCGGTTGAAACCGAATTTGAAAAAAAAAAAACCGAACCGAACCGAAATAATTTCGGTTTTCGGTTTTGGAGTTTTTTTTTTCAAATTTTTTTTAAAACCGAACTGAAATTGCTAATTCAATTCGGTCGATTTGATTTTTTGTTTTTAACCGAATAATACTCAACCCTAATTACATCCCAAGATACACATGTTCTGTTTCTGAAAGGACAGAGCATGAGGAGCTACGAGGTTTGTAACAGAGCTATTTAGGAGGTTGTTTCATTACAAAAACATGGGCAAAAATATAATAATATGCGTAGTAAAAAAGGTTTTGAAAGTTTGTCTAGCGAAATATAGATATCATGAAATTGATTTGTACAAAAGGATCCTAAAGAAAGATTAAGGTTGGTTTTTGTTCTTTAATTCTTCAGCTTAGTTTGTTTACCTCAAAATAATGGAAATTAATAATTCCTTGGTTATTTCCTCGGTTAACACGTTTTCTTTGGGTAATTTACTTTGTTAATATTTTCAATATCTCAATTTTATTCTATTGTGCGCATTGAAATATAAGCCAAATCACTCCTTTTTGCATAAAAATTTCTATCCTTGCATGCCGCAGTTCCATATGCAAAGAGAGATACGAGGACAAGGATACATGGATTGTATAATTCCTCCCAAAATACACAATTTGTGGTGTCTCGTGGGAGGAGCATAAGAAGAATGAATCTTTAGAGTTTGGAAGGCATGCAGGAGCTGGAGTGATATTATGGTTGAGATGGACGTTCAAGGTTAAAAGAAGAAATCAATATCCAATATGAAAAATTCTGAAAGAGCAATTATAATAATGTTTTTGGAAGAGTGAACAATATTGAATTTTTGAAAATTTTGGGATAGAAAGCCTCTCCTGCGAAATCTTCAACTCTGAGAAATTGGAATGGTACTTTGATAATTTTACTTCCAATTTTTTTTTTTTTAATGGCTACATAAATTATTCCCTTGAATCACTTTGCATGTATGCATATATATTTACAAACATGTAAAGATGGAGGATGGGGACACTGTATATTGTACTAACACTACCTGGATGTCGGTGAAGGTCCAGGAAACAAGATCTAAAGCTCATGCACCAACTGATGAAAGAAGGATAATGACAAGGAAACAGAAGGCACAAGAAGGAGAGCAATCACCAAAGAAGAAGCCATGAACTAAAGCAGAAACCCATTAACAAACAAGCACAGTGACATGTTTCTTGTACTGGTGCCTGTCTCCCTGTGACCGCACTTGGGAGTTTGGGACACGTACGTGTGCTTCCAAAGCACATGAAAGGCTAAACCCATGGTTTTTATCTCAAACCGGTGGTTCTTTCTACCTGCCCCAAGGAAAAGAAAGATCATGCGCTGTTTCTCTTTTTCTTTTTTCTTTTCTTTTTTCCCCTGAGAATATGTATCATTATTAAAATAGTGAAGTTTTAAATAATGGATAAAAGTATGCAGATCTTGTAACTTTTTCTTAAAAAAAAAAAAAAACCAATGCAGATCTCATTTGTTTGTAAAAAGACATATTATCCCCCAACTATATCTAATTCTCAATCGGATCCCCAATACACACTCTCCAACTAATCCAACATTCAAATTTATGACGAAAAAAGATTAACTTTTAAGCTTAAATAGGTCCAAGCTTTTAGGATTTCAAGAGGGTAATTTCCAAAAGATAAGGAGCCTAATAGAACAAAGTTTTTGTTTAGGGATCGAATTGAGAATTGGGTGATAGTTTGGAGAAAAATTTCACCACCTCACCCATATTGGGATGAGGAGAAAAGGAATCAACCGACCACAACAGAAATCAAAGTAAAAACAAGTGACTAATAATGTTTGTTAGAATTGAAGTAAAACCATCAAACTCTACCCTGCAACTCCTGGGGCTGTCTCTCTATCCAACCACTCCAAAATCCCTATAAAAATGAAACAAAATCTCACTAATTTGAAGAAGCAAAACCTACCCAAATTTCCTCTAGGAGCAACTAACTTCTTCCACTAATTAGCCAGCATTGATTTTGTTCGCCTACCTCTTACAATGTCAAAGAATGTTGTAGCTCAATCTCCTCTCCAGAGAAATAGCTTAGCTTCACTTGACCAAAAGCTGGCCATGGCAAAGCGCTGCTCTCATGGTACTTGTTTCTAATGCTACTCAATTTGTCCAAATGTCAGTTCTTATTTTTGTTTCAAAATTTTAAAACTCATTTGCTTCTTGTGGATCAACAGAAGGAGTAGTTGCAGGAGCTAAAGCAGCTGTTCTTGCTACCATTGCCACTGCCATTCCAACTGTAAGCTTGTCTTCTTTGTAACTTTCATTAATCCTTTAAAACCAAACAAGAGAAAAAATTCTTTGATTCTTAAGTGTATTGTGTTTAATATGTAGATGGCTAGTGCAAGGATGTTGCCATGGGCAAGAGCCAATCTGAATCACACAGCTCAAGCTCTCATAATTTCAACTGGTAATTAATTAATTAATTAACTATCCAAATTAAACAAGCATTATATACCCTCGTGATTATCGTAAATTTCTTCTTTTATTGATGAAATTATACATTTCCTCGCAGTTGCTGGAGCTGCATATTTTATAGTTGCTGACAAGACTATTCTTGCCACTGCAAGAAAGAACTCCTTCAAGACTCCCTCTAACATGAAGGCATGATGACTTAAATATTAATCTATCGTCTTCATTTTTAGACCTTCTTTGTAGTTCACCGAGTTATTTACCTATCAGGCAAATTATATTTGTAAACCATCATCATCTGTATGGAGGCATAAATAAATAAAGATGGACTTTACATTTTTAGCCTATGAATTATTATTATTTTCTACATATGTTTACAGATAATAATAGTATTCTCGAGTCAGTATTGAATGAACAGCTGACGACTGAAGATGCCCTGTTATTTTATTTTTTTCCTTGTTATTTATTCTTTCGTAGTTCTAGGTGGTATTAAGAGTATAAAGGAGCCTGGCCCAGGCCCATTTCTTCTTGGGGAGAGATTTCATGGGCTGGTTTTAAAAAATGTTCCTGCTGATGGGCCTCTGAGTATTAATATCACAACTAGAAATAATCCTTCTAGTCAGCATTACGATACCCATGGGCCATGGGCCGAAGTGGAGCTTTTGACTGCTAGTTTATTTTTTATTTTTGTTTTTTCTTTTTGTAGTGGATTGGTAAGTTTGCAAAGAAAATAAGCAGACAGACAAAGTAATTACAACGGCACTGTTTTTTCTACCCAGTTCTCCGGTTTGTTTTTTCCCATGTTCACATACCTCAAAATTACCGCTACAAATCCCATAGCATTGGATTGGCATCACTAGGGAAGACAGATCAAATTATTCCCTTTCCCTTTTTTGTTTTTTTTTTCAATTGGATGCATGATCTACTATATAAAACTTTGGGATAATTACTATAAAAACCTTATAAAAAACTCTTATATCCAACTAACTCATTAATTTATTCTTAAATCTCTCAAACTCAAAATAATATTTTTTTATCAAAACACTCAATAGTTAACCTCCGATTTAACACTAGTTAACTATTAGGTCTTATGGTAAAAATTTTTTTTATTATTTTTAGGTTTGAGAGATTTAAAAAATAAATTGATGAATTTTTTAAATAGAAATTTTTTTATAGTTTTTTTTTTATAATTTTTATCTACTAATAAACTCATTTCATAGTTTTTAACGAGTTTGATATATATATATATATATATTTCATGATCAAGTCAAGTTCTTTTTTAGTGCATTCGAAAGAAAAAAAAAGTTTTTGAGGTTTCTTAACTTTTAAATACTAACATTCGACTACGTTTTTTTTTATAATACTAAAAAATTTCTTATATTAGAGTTTTTTTGTATCAACCGTTTGTTTCATTAATTACGAGATTAATTTTACTATTTACTAAGTATAGCAACCGAGGTAATTTAACTAATTAATATTGATGAAATAAGACTCTTTTAATTTAATCAAAGAGTTATCATACAAATAAGAAAAATAAACTATGTATGATTATGAACATTAGTGATTTCTTAAATCCTAATATATTGATAGAAAAAAAGCATTATCGGTAATATTAGTTTTTAATTAATCAAAAATCAACATTTTTTATCAAATAATTAAATTAAATTACATGATGAATGTATAACATATTTTAGTGCATTAATTGAATAAAACATGGTCATCCATGATAGAAATACATATTTTGAGGTTTCTTAACTTTTAAATACTAACATTCGACTACTTTTTTTTATTATACTAAAAAATTCCTTTTATTAGATTTTTTTGTATCGATCGTTTGTTTCATTAATCAAGAGATTAATTTTACTATCTATTAAGTATAGCGAGTCGAGGTCATTTAACTAATTAATATTGATGAAATGAGACTCTTGTAATTGTCTTTTAATTTAATCAAAGAGTTATCATACAAATAAGAAAAATAAACTATGTATGATTATGAACATTAGTGATTTCTTAAATCCTAATATATTGATAGAAAAAAATGCATTATCGGTAATACTAGTTTTTAATTAATCAAAACTCAACATTTTTAATCAAATAATTAAATTAAATTACATAATAAATGTATAACATATTTTAGTGCATTAAATAAATAAAACATGATCATCCATGATAGAAATACATATTTTGAGGTTTCTTGACTTTTAAATACTAACATTCGACTACGTTTTTTTTATTATACTAAAAAATTCCTCATATTAGAGTTTTTTTGTATCGACCGTTGTTTCATTAATTACGAGATTAATTTTACTATCTAGTAAGTATAGCAGCCAAGGCAATTTAACTAATTAATATTGATGAAATTAGACTCTTGTAATTCTCTTTTAATTTAATCAAACGGTTATCATACAAATAAGAAAAATAAACTATGTATGATTATGAACATTAGTAAGTTCTTAAATCCTAATATATTGATAGAAAAAAAAAAAACATTATCGGCAATACTAGTTTTTAATTAATCAAAACTCAACATTTTTTATCAAATAATTAAATTAAATTACATTATGAATGTATAATATATTTTAGTGCATTAATTGAATAAAACATGATCATCCTTAATAGAAATACATATCTTGAAAGATAATGGTTTCATTTAAACTAGGGATAAGTACCAAAATACCTTCTAAAAAATCTTCAATCTAAAAAATTCGCTATTTTATTTTTAAATCTCCCAAACATAAAATAATATTTTATATCTCACAAGCCTAAAATAATATTTTTCTTATCAAAATAACTAATAGTTAACACTAGTGTTAGTTATTAGGTGTTTTTGATAAGAAAAATATTATTTTGGATTTGAAAGATTTAAAAATAAATTTATATGTTTTTTAGATAGAAAATTTTTTTATAAGGTTTTTCTAGTAATTAACCCTAAAACTTTATCTTCAGTCTTGCACAATTTATGTAACACTTAAGAATTAAATAAAGCCAAGTTGCAGAAGAGAATGAAACCATGCCCCAATGGGCTCATGCAGAGACTAAGAAACCAGGTGAAACTCCATAACATGCATTGTAGTATTAACAGTTCAGAACACCACCTGTCAACGTTTCAAGATGTTAAAGAAACCCAATTGGACAAGCGGCAAGTTGTTGCACCCCATGATACCCATGTTCTGTTTCTTGGAAAGACAGAGCATGAGGAGCTTCGAGGTTTGTAACAGAGCTATCACTATACTTGTCTTGGTTAGGAGCTGTGTCGTTACAAAAAAATGGGTATAAATATGATAATGTGTGTAGTAAAAATGGTTTTGAAAGTTTGTCTGGCGAAATATAGATATCTTGAAGTTGATTTTGTACAAAAGGATCCTAAAGAAAGATTAAGGTTGGTTTTTGTTCTTCAATTCTTCAGCTTAGTTTGTTCACCTCAAAATAATGGAAATTAATAATACCTTGGTTATTTCTTTGGTTTGCATGCATGTTTTCTTTGAGTAATTTACTTTTTTAATATTTTCAATATCTCATTTTTATTCTATTCTACGCATTGAAATATAAGCCAAATCATTCCTTTTTGCCTTGTAGCAGCAAAAATATAAAAAATTATTAGACAGAGCCTGCTTACATAAAAATTTCTATCCTTGCATGCCACAGTTCCATACGTAAAGAGAGATACGAGGACAAGGATACATAGATTGTATAATTCCTCCCAAAATACACAATTTGTGGTGTCTCGTGGGAGGAGCAGAGGAAGAATGAATCTTTAGAGTTTGGAAGGCAGGAGCTGAAGTGATGTTATGGTTGAGATCGATGGAAGTTCAAGTCTAAAAAAAGAAATCAATATCCAATATGAAAACTTCTGAAAGAGCAATTGTAATAATGTTTTTGGAAGAGTGTGAAAAATATTGAATTTTTGAAAATTTTGGGATAAAAAACCTCTCGTTTGAAATCTTCATGAAATTGGAATTGTACTTTGATAATTTTACTTCCAATTTTTTTTTTTTTAAATGGCTACATAAGTTATTCCCTTGAATCACTTTGCATGTATGCATATATATTTACGAACATGTAAAGATGGAGGATAGGGACTGTGTATATTTTACTAACACTACCTGGATGTCTGTAAAGGTCCAGGAAACAAGATCTCAAGCTCATGCACCAACTGATGAAAGAAGGATAATGACAAGGAAGCAGAAGGCACAAGAAGGAGAGCAATCACCAAAGAAGAAGCCATGAACTAAAACAGAAACCCATTAACAAACAAGCACAGTGACATGTTTTTAGTGCTGGTCCTTGTCTCCCTGTGACAGCACTTGGGAGTTTGGGACACGTACGTGTGCATCCAAAGCACATGAAAGGCTAAACCCATGGTTTTTATCTCAAACCAGCGGTTCTTTCTACCTGCCCCAAGGAAAAGAAAGATCATGCATGTGTTGTTTTTCTCTTTTTTCTGTTTTTTTCCCCTGAGAATGTGTCATTATCAAAATAGTGAAGTTTTAAAGAATGGATAAAGTATGCAGATCTTGTAACTTTTTTTTTCAAAAAAAAAAAAAAATCCAGATCTGATTTGTTTGTAAAAAGACATATGGTCCCCCAACTATATCTAATTCTCAATTGGATCCCTAATAAGAAAATCCCCAATACACTTTATCCAGCTAATCCAACATTCAAATTTATGGTAATTTTTAATTTTTAATCCAAATAGTTCCTAGATTTTATGATTTTAAGAGGGCTAATGTCCAATAGATAAGGGATCTAATTGAAACTGTTTTTGTTTAAGGATCCAATTGAGAATTGGGTAATAGTTTGGAGACAAATTCCTGCTTTACCTTTTTTCATCATCCAATCTATGTTGGGATGAGGAGAAAAGGAATCAACCGACTATATCAGAAACCAAAGCAAAAACAAGTGACTAATAATGTTGTTAGAATTGAAGTAAAACCATCAAACTCTACCCTGCAACTCCTGGGGCTGTCTCTATGTCCAACCACTCCAAAATCCATATAAATATGCAACCAAATCTCACTAATTTCAACAAGCAAAACCTACCCAAATTTCCTCTAGGTGGAACTAACTTCTTCCACTAATTAGCCAGCATTGATATTGTTCACTTATCTCTTACAATGTCTAAGAATGTTGTAGCTCAATCTCCTCTTCAGAGAAATAGCTTAGCTTCACTTGACCAAAAGCTGGCCATGGCAAAGCGCTGCTCTCATGGTAATTGTTTCTAATGCTACTCAATTTGTCTAAATGTCAGTTCTCATTTTTGTTTCCAAATTGGTAAAAATCATTTGTTTCTTATGGATCAACAGAAGGAGTAGTTGCAGGAGCTAAAGCAGCTGTTCTTGCTACCATTGCCACTGCCATTCCAACTGTAAGCCTATCTTCTTTGTAACTTTCATTAATCCTTTAAAACCAAACAAGAGAAAGAATTCTTTGATTCTTAAGTGTATTGTGTTTAACATGTAGATGGCTAGTGCAAGGATGTTGCCATGGGCAAGAGCCAATCTGAATCACACAGCTCAAGCTCTCCTAATTTCAACAGGTAACTAATTAACAATCCAAATTAAACAGGCATTATATATCCTCGTGATTATCGTAAATTTCTTCTTTTATTGATGAAATTATACATTTCCTCGCAGTTGCTGGAGCTGCATATTTTATAGCTGCTGACAAGACTATTCTTGCCACTGCAAGAAAGAACTCCTTCAAGACTCCCTCTAACATGAAGGCATGATGACTTAAATATTAATCTATGGTCTTCATTTTTGGACCTTCTTTGTAGTTCACAGAGTTATTTACCTATCAGGCAATTATATTTGTAAACCATCATCATCTGTATGTATGCATAAATAAATAAAGACGGACTCAACATTTTTAGCCTATGAATTATATATATATATATATATATATATATATATGACATGATCAAGACAGTTTTTATATCAATCCAAACTAAGTATACTATTTTTATTTTTATTTTTATTTATACAATGATGAACAGCTGAAGATGCTCTCTTATTTCATTTTCCTTGATATATATTTTTTCGTAGTTCTAGCTGGTAATAAGAGAATAATGGAGCATAGTCCACGCCCATTTCTGCTTATGCAGAAATTTCATGGGCTGGTTATAAAAAATGTTCCTGCTGATGGGCCTCGAGAATCTTAATATCGCAAACAATGGTGGTAATAAGAGAATAAAGCAGCATAGTCCAGGCCGATTTCTGCTTATGAAGAGATTTCGTGGGCTGGTTATAAAACCTACTTATGGGCCTCAGAGTATTAATATCACAACAAGAAATAATCCCTCTAATCAGCACTACGATGCCCATGGGCCATGGGCCTAAGAGGAGATTTTGACTGCTAATTTATTTTTATTTTTTATTTTTGTAGTGGAGCTTTTGGTAAGTTTGCAAAGAAAATAAGCAGAGACGGAGTATTTCCAACGGCACCGTTTTACTACCCAGTTCTCAAGTTTGTTTTTTCCCATGTTCCAAACACAAGCACAGACCTCAAAATTATCAGTACAAACGAGATATTAAGTTTTCATTCGATTAATATATATATATATATATATATATATATACATATATATATAAAAAGTGTTAGACCTGGAATAAATATTTTGTGCAAACAGTTTCTCAACAAAATTAGGAGTAGGATTAGATCTTCTTAAGTGGACCTGGGGTAATACATGCGAGGCAGACTTCACCCCCAACAATTATCCATCATTTATTTTCTATGCACTAATTTTAAATGATCAGTGTGCCTTGAAAATATAGCTCTACCGCTTAATGCTCCAGGTGTTGATCCAGGGAGGCAAGAAGCTGCCAATTCGAAAAAGGGCATGAATCCATGCCCAAATGGGCTCATGCAGAGACTAAGAAACCAGATGAAACTCCATAACATGCGCTGTAGTAACAGTTTAGAACACCACCTGTCAACGGTTCAAGCTGTTAAAGAAACCCAATTGGACAAGTGGCAAGTTATTACACCCCATGATACACATGTTCTGTTTCTGGAAAGACAGAGCATGATGAGCTACGAGGTTTGTAACAGCGCTATCACTATACGTGTCTTGTTTAGGAGGTTGTGTCATTACAAAAACATGGGTATAATAATACGAGTAGTAAAAATGGTTTCGAAAGTTTCAGATATCTTGAGGTGCTAGTAAGATTTGGTCTGATATTGGAAGTTGATTGAAAGATGAAGGTTAGTTTTTGTTCTTTGATTCTTCAGCTCAGAGTTCGTTTACCTCAAAATAATGGAAATCAATAATTCCTTGGTTTTTTCTTTGGTTTGCGTGCATGTTTTCTTTGGGTAATTTACTTAGTTAATATTTTCAATATCTCAGTTTTAGTATTTTATAATATAACTTTAAATAACATCCATTATTTTATTTAATGACGGTTACGTAATGGTTTGTTTCATTTTGAAGCATTTTGTTATCGTTATTTTAGTATTATAATAAATTACGATTCAAGATATACGTAACGGTTTTTTAGAATCTCATTATTATTATTTTAATATTACAATAAATCATTATTACAGTAAATCACGATTAGTGATATTAACAGTTTTTGAGTATCTCATTGTTACTATTTTAATATTACAATAAATCACTATTACAGTAAATCACGATTAATGATATTAACCGTGATCATTTTTTTAATTTTTTACGATTTAAAACTATCCCTTTTTTAATTTTTTGTGATTTAAAACTATCATGATACGTATTGAAATATAAGCCAAATTACTCCTTTTTGCCTTGTAGCAGAAAAATATCAAAAACTATTAGATAGAGCCTATTTACATAATAATTTCTATCCTTGCATGCCGCAGTTCCATATGTAGAGAGAGATATGAGAACAAGGAGAGATTGTATAATTTCACCCAAAATACAGAAAAATTGTTGTGTCTTGTGGGAGGAGCAGAAGGAGAATGGATCTTTAGGGTTTGGAAGGCAGGAGCTGAAATGATAGTAAGGCTGATACTAAGGCTGAAATGGAAATTCAAGGCTAAAGGAAGAAATCAATATCCAGTATGAAAAATTCTGGAAGAGCCAGTATAGTAATGTTTTTGGAAGAGTCAAAATATTGAATTTGTGAATACTTTGGGATAGAAAGCCCCCTATGAAATCTTCAACTCTTTGAAGTTGGAATTGTACTTTGATAACTTCAATTCCAATTTATTTTTTTTGAAAAAAATGGCTACAAAATTTTTTCCCTGAAACACTTTGTTCTTTCCCCTTTACATATATACGAACATGTAAGATGTAGGATAGGGACTCTATATTTGAACTAACACTTCCTGGACTTGTGTAAAGGTCCATGAAACAAGATCTCAAGCTCATGCAACATCTGATGAAAGTAGGATGATGACAAGGAAGCAGAAGGCAGGTCCAAGCAAGGCACAAGAAGGGGAGCAATCACCAAAAAAGAAGCCAAAGAATGGAAAGGATCAAAATGATAGTACAAATGGGAAATCTGAGGATAATATTGCTAAAGAGTATGAAGAGTTCTGTAAAGCAATCGATGAGCACCTCTCTGTTGAACAAATGAGGGAGATTTTGGATATGAATGACCAAGATTCCTCTGGCTCTGAAGGTGTTGTCACCACCAAATGGTAAGTCAATCCCAGCCTACTGTTTTTAAAGAGCATGGGAAGTTAGCTGTGTATTATCGCTGATGCTTTTGAGATTTTTTTCTTGAGTCAGCCAAGATGTGCTCTTTTTTGGGCCACTGGACAAGTGCCCATTATGCAGCAGCAATTTGCAATTTGATGGGAAACGGTATTCTTGTAAAGGGTTTTACAGTGAGTGGTCTAGTTGCACATTCAAAACCAGAACACCACCGAGGAAGGAAGAGCCACTCAAATTACCCGACTCTGTCCAAAAATCCTCGGTTGCAGATGTATCTTTCACTTCTATAGCCACAGTACTCGTTTTGCTTTGTAATGTCACTGCCGTTTTATAGAGTGTTCTTGTTGTTTCACACTTTCAGTTGCTGAAGAATCATCAGGATCCCAGTCGCCGACCTCGTCAGGGTGCCCCAATCAAACCTTTGGCAGGGATAATGGTCTCTTTTTCGGGCCGTCTTTCTCGAACACATGTATGTTGTTCGTTATTCTAATTGCTGATTGCGGTCTCTTACGCTCCATGGCTAGTTGGATTTTAACTCTTGTTGATTTATGCAGCAATACTGGAAAAGGGAGATCGAGAAACATGGAGGGAAGGTTTCTAGTTCAGTTAAAGGTAATTAATTCACTCTTGAAGGGTTTGGATTTTGAATTGGCATGTTTCTTTGTGTTGACATCTTGTCCCTCACCAACATTTTCTAACACCTTTGCAGGCATTACTTGCCTAGTTGTTACACCTGCTGAGAGGGAGCGTGGCGGTTCTACTAAGCTTGCTGATGCTATGTGAGTTCAGAATTTTTTTAGGCTTACAAATTGTATCTGCAGACAGATAGATAGTGGATATTCTTGCTCTCAAACAAATATGTGATGCAGAACATTTGGTTTGCATCGTCAAGTTAAAAATGACGTTTTGCTTTATTCATTCATTGCAGAAAACATTCTCTATTTATTAGTTGTCAACATAAATCTTACTCTCTGATATATACGTCATTGTTCTTCAAATTGGATTGCCAAAAAATTTGGGATCATCAGCTTCTAAGACTGCATTCTTTTTCTCCTGAAGGGAGGCGGGCATACCAGTGGTGAGGGAAGAGTGGTTGCTTGACAGCATTGAGAAACAAGAACCGCAGCCAATGGAGGCATATGATGTTGTTTCTGATCTTTCTGTGGAGGGAAAAGGAATTCCGTGGGACGAACAAGATCCCAGTGAAGAGGCTCTCGAATCGATTTCAGCAGAAGTAAAGGGCTTTTATACCTTGAGCTTCAAAGAATCGCATCACTCCTAGGAAATCAATCTTCTTCTACTCACCAAATTATCTATATGCATTGCAGCTCAAACTATATGGCAAGAGAGGAGTCTACAAAGATACTAAATTGCAGGAACGTGGTGGACAGATATTTGAGAAAGATGGGATATTGTACAACTGTGCCTTCTCACTCTGTGACCTGGGCCGAGGACTGAACAAGTACGTAATTATAGAATTGTTGACCTAAATTGAGTTTCTGTAACCATCTGAGCTTATGTTTCATGTTAACTGGTGTAGGTTTTGTATCATGCAATTGATCACCGTACCCGATAGTAACTTGCATTTGTACTACAAGGAAGGGAAAGTTGGTGATGATCCAAATGCAGAGGAGAGGCTTGAAGAATGGGAAAATGTGGACAACGCTATTAAGGAGTTTGTCAGACTATTTGAGGAACTTACTGGCAATGAGTTTGAGCCATGGGAAAGAGAGAAGAAGTTTGAGAAAAAACGACTCAGTTACTACCCGATTGACATGGTATGAAAATGCTCATCTTATTACTCACTTAGTGGCATAACTTTTCCTTTTGCTATTTATGGATGGTCTTATGCTTGATGGAGAATTTTGTTTGGATAGGATGATGGAGTTGATGCAAGACATGGAGGGCTAGGACTTAGGCAGCTAGGAGTTGCAGCTGCGCACAGCAGCCTTGACCCTAAAATTGCTTATTTTATGAAAATTTTGTGCAGCCAGGAGATATACAGGTATTATCTCTCTGTAATATACAATTCCTGCATTTTCTTTCTGCACAATTTCTTTTGATTTAGAGAAGCTTGTTGCTCGTTTGACAGGTATGCTATGATGGAGATGGGTTTAGACTCTCCTGGCTTGCCAATGGGGATGCTTTCAAATTTACACTTGGAAAGATGTAAGGATTGACCTTTTGATTCCACCTTTTATTTTATCTTCTCTTGCGACTAACAAAAATCTCTTCAGGCGAGGAGGTCCTTCTTCAGTTTGTAGAAGCAGTGAAATCAATGGAAGAGACAGGACAAAAGGCTGAGGCTGTTTGGTCAGATTATAGCCAAAGATGGTTTACTCTTCTTCATTCAACTAGGCCTTTCATCTTTAGAGACTGTCAGGATCTTGCAGATCATGTAAGCCAACCTTGGCTTCCTATCACCTCTAAAGTCCCTCTTACTTGACACTAACGTATGACTCTGGATTGAATTTTTAGGGTGCAGCTGCATATGAAACTGTTCGAGACATAAATGAGGCCTCGCGCCTTATAGGAGACATGTCTGGCTCAACCCTTGATGATCCGTTGTTGGATAGATACGAGAAATTGGGCTGCTCAGTTTCTGCACTGGAGAAAGATTCTGATGACTACAAGATGATTGTGAAGTACCTGGAAACAACTTATGAACCAGTCAGAGTTGGAGACATTGTGAGCGTACACATTTAACCATTTCTTAAAGCAATCAATTCCTCATCAATACTATGTTAACAATTTTACCATGCCTTGCTGATGTAGGAATATGGAGCATCAGTGGAGAATATTTTTTCTGTGGAACCAAGTGCTTGTCCTTCTTTGGATGAGATTAAGGAGTTGCCAAACAAAGTCCTCCTATGGTGTGGTAAGGTTCCAGTTCTAACTGACCTTGCTCTCTTGTTCTAGCTGATATTACTACCAAGTTGTGTTTATTGCTTTGTCTTAGGCACTCGAAGCTCAAACATGTTAAGGCATTTGCAAAAGGGGTTTCTGCCGTCAGTCTGTTCTCTTCCTGTCCCCGGTTACATGGTAATATCAATAGCTTATAATTTCACTCTGCATCAATATTCTGATCTTGGCCCTGAAAGAATTTGTTTGGCTCAACAGTTTGGAAAGGCAATTGTTTGTTCTGATGCTGCTGCGGAAGCTGCTAGGTATGGCTTTACTGCAGTAGATAGGCCAGAAGGATTTTTAGTTCTAGCTGTTGCTTCTCTTGGGGATCAGATCACCGAAGTTAAAAGTCCACCAGAGGTATGCTACTGTTACTTCCAGCCTAATGGCTAAGTTGGTTTTAACACACTCCTGGAATCCTGAAAATCTGCTATTTAACGAGGCAGGATACAAAGTCATTGGAAGAGAAGCAGCTTGGAGTGAAAGGATTGGGGAAAAAGAAAACAGATGAATCTGAACACTTTGTATGGAAGGATAACATCAAAGTTCCTTGTGGCCGCTTGATTCCATCAGAGCATAAAGGCAGCCCTCTCGAGTATAATGAATATGCTGTCTATGATCCAAAACAGGTATAATATCCAGAAATTACAGTTTCTCAGCAAATTCCAGTGACGGAAATCTAACTCATTTGGTATTGTTACTTTTATGAAATGTTTGAATTTCAGACGAGCATAAGGTTCTTGGTGGAGGTCAAGTATGAGGAGATAGGTGTCGAGTTGGATACTGCAGAGCCTTGAGCAAAAGGAAGAGGCAAAGGAAGGGGCTGGTCAAGAGCAAAGAAGGGCTTTTTGCGCAGATCTTTTTGTTTGGGTTGCCATCTTTTTGATTGGGCCCTTTTTAGGCTAAAACCCGAAACTGTCCAAATGGGAGACTGTCAAAATGAGGGTAGATGGTGATGGATTTTGTGCTGTATATAATCATCATAAACCTGTGTTGTAACTTTTTACAAAAATAGGGTATGCTTCTGTAGCCTTTCTTCTACTTGCCTAAAGCGCAAAATTTCTTGTTAATCTCTAGAAAAATGACTACTAGTGAGTGATCATTTGGCAATAAAAGCCGTATGGAGTAAAATACAGCTACAATATCTTCCTTTGGAGATGAAAAATGTAGAGGTGCTGACCTTGGCCGTTTTCTTTATGAAGTGACTGGTTTCTAGATGATGTCCTTACATGAGAGAAACCTACGAGAAAAATGTACCTATTGCCGTATTCATAAGAATGAAGCGCCTGCTATATCTAAGATTTGTAGTCTTTTTTCAACGAATCAAGCCAGGACCTTTTATTTGGATCGGCTTAATTGTTGCTATTTCAAAAACACCTCGAGGGCTATCTGTTCTGAGCTCACTTTCACCCATGAACATGGGATACTGTCAGGTGTACATTACTCCTCGGTAGAAGTCAAAGAGGACAAGAGAAGTTAAAAACAGCAAAAACATTCACAATAACAGAAGTTTGTACTCCCTAAACGGCCAAAATTGGCATATTTTCCTACATAAATTAGTGGAATTTATTGCTATTTACTGAACATATCATCCAAGACCCAGCAGTGGGTCAAATTACGTGGTTGAAATCTCCAAATGAGCATGCCTGCCAAAATGTAATGACATAGGAGTTATCAAAACTTCATCAAGGTGTACAATAACAGCACATGAGAACTTGAACCCTGTCTCTGTCTTCATGAATAGCAGCACTTAAGCAGTGATAAATAGTTTGTCATCACTTCTGACTGTTCCAAACAACTTTACAAGTTTAACTTGATAAAGGAAGTGCAAAATTGACACAAAACCTTGAGATTCTTAACTGGCAAGTGACTTCAAAGTTGAAAATCAAAACTATTCATACTGAAAACCTCCCTCCAGAGTTTTCCCACGATGCTAGATATGAGCATATCTAATCAGATATGATAACCAAAGGAGAAGCAAAACTTGAAGAGCTCAATAAGACAATTTTCAATCACACTAAAAGCAAATGAGAAACAAATCTTGAAATCATTTCTTAGATTCCAGCTTTACATTAGAATTGCCCTAGACTTTTTTTGAAAGTACGGGGTCAGCATATGAAACAGAAATCTTCAACTACTTTGTGTTCGTTGCCATTTCATGGAACCAACAACAATTAAAACAATACAGAAATTTGAGTTTTGACAACCAACAATTAATCCCACATAACCAAAAGATTCAACTCCCAAAAAATCATTGATAAATTACAGCAGCAGGAAACTTGAAGGTGTCCCTAATGAAAGGTATTAACTGTGGATTGTTCACCAAATCATGATAAAAATGGTATTCTGCCTCATAATCATGTAACTTTAGCTCAGCCTTTTGATTAGTGTGATAATGATGCCTAGCTGAAGCTGATTTGCCAAACCCAAAAATACTAACTTTATCACAAATCCCCACCGCAAGCATTACAGCTTGCAAACCAGATGAATAGTGGAACACAGAACCATCATGAGCAGAGCCCCATTCATCCAATGACTTCCCAGTGTCCTCCACGAACCGTTTCAATGAATAATACTTCACAATCCTTGCACACAACACATCAAAGCGCGGATCAGTGACAACCAAAGGTGCATTGTGAGATGAATTGCAAACAGTATAATCCAAGAAATGTGCTGGTTGACAAATATACATAACCATGGGGACATTATCCCCATATGGATGACAGAAACAACCTTGCCTCCTTCCACAAAGATGCAAAATATTGCTATTTACAAAGGAAATATTAGTTTTTGCCCCCACATTTCGCTCGTATCTCTCCGTCCTCGCATTGTTCAATCTGATTACGACCTCATGACCATCAATCAACTCTCCATACTCGTCCTTCATCAAAATCCCACTATTCCCAACTACAGCACAAGAACCATACCGCCTTTCCGAACCCACCAATCCATTATGCCTGTCAATGGGAGCCTTCACAAGCCCTATTAATTCATCCATTATTTCAGGCTGATACCTCTTCTTTCTCGACCAATCATGTAACGCCCTCCTAAAATCTAACCAATACCTATAAAACTCAGGGGACCTAAGCATTACAGGAATACCCTTGGACGTTCTTGCTTTAATTTCATGATGATTAAACCTCCTCCAAGTAGCAAAAGACCTATACCTTCCTCGACTATCAAAGTTTCCTTCTAATAACTCTTCTATTTCATGCTGGGCTTGAACCTCTCCTATATCAATAGCCGCATATTTCAGCAGCGTGGAATTAAAAACCGGAACTTTTTTCTGTAAAATCAAACTGGGTTTCTCCACCTCAATGGAGCTAAACCCGCCACTACGGCGGATTAAGATCCCAGAGCTGAGAGTCAGAGCAAACACAATGAGCAGTAGAATGGCAAAAAAAGGATGAACTGACCTTTTCATTGGCACAACCGGATTACAGGTGCTGCTAAATTTTCCCACAAAATATTTGCATCAATTCCTTTTTATATCACCAAATCTGGACATCAGAAAGAAATCAGTAAAGTGTAAAGATCAAGAAATATAAATGAATTCTTGGATGAGTTTGTAGACAAAGACGCATTTTCTTGTTTTCTTTTCTATTTTATTTTTTCAATGTTAGCTTCAATCAAGCTCTAAAAATAATTATTATTTGAAAAAGAAAGCTTCATGTCACGAGAAAGTGAAATGGGAATTGCAAATGAAGGAATGATTTGGGAATGAATTGGTTTGGTTAAGAAATGGGAATTTCATGACCGGTGACCGAGTGCGGAGTGAGTGACAGAGAAGTAGTGGTACAATGGCAGACCGGAGATTCAGGACAAAATTGGATTGGCTTCTGTGTTTTGTTGGGAAATAGTGATCAAGTGTTTTGTTGTTTTTATGGGCTGATTATGGATTTGATTGCAATGTAGTCCCTTTTCGTTCTATTATTTTGTGCGTTAGTCCTTTTAGTTTAATAATCATAAGTTAGTACGTTGATTGAAGTTGGCTGTTAATTCTTTTTTAGATGAACACAACTCCAGCCGCAAATCATTTTTGGTTTTGTTTGTAGTGGTAAAATTGGAAAATATATTAGGAAAAATGATTCAATTGTCATAAAAATTAATATAAGGACTTAATATTGTATTTTTAAAAACTAAAGGGATTGAGTAGTTATTTTGTAGTGGTTTACTCGTTGATTTAACGATTAAATGTTTTGTCGGGAGAGCTGTGATGATGTGGAGGTGGATCTATGGTTGGTTGGGATATTATAGATCCATCTAAATCTACAATTCTTCAATTATCCAACTTAATGTGATTTTACTCAATTATCAAAGATATATATATATATATATATATATATATATATAAGACTTTATCTAATTAATAAGATATATAACATTAAATATAAATTATAAATTGGTTAGTGATTCCTATTAACTAAGCTTATACTTACTTTTAGATTTTATGCTATTTGCTTTTATCAAATACCTAGTACTAAAATAAATTATTTATATTTTTTAATATTTAAATATAATAACATATTCTCTAATCAATTTTTATATTAATTTAAATTAAATTCATTTAATGTCCGAATATATTTATAGTTTTTAATAGATTACACTCGATCTCAACATCATTAAAAGATTATTATAATTAATTATTCGTAAATAATAAGAATTAAATCTTGATTTTAGTTAAACCAAAACAATTCATTTATCGTCTAATCAGATCATTTGGTTTTAGATTTATTTTCTTGTTTTGATAAAGACAATTTTTCATCCATTTAAATGTATTGAAACCATAATTCCAACTAGTTATTTATTATTAAGTTCAATTATAACTTCATTATATTTATAGACGAGACAAAATTTCTTGTGCTGTAAGCGATGTTGGTTTTTGGGGATTGATCTGGCTTTTTTTTTCCTTGTTTATTTATTGTTATTACTATTGCCCACCTGGCTAGCCCATTACTGGAGATTTGTTTGTTTGATACGGTTTGGTGATTATTACAAGATATAATTTTTATTTATTATTATTATTATTTGTAGAGATTAGTGATGATAATAATTTGACATATAGTTTGCATGATAATAATAATAATAATATATTATGGTGGGTGCAAAAGACACGGCCTGCCCGTCTCTACCTAAAATTCCACCACTACGACGAGTCAACTTTGGAATCTACAATTACGTTTCCCATTATTAAAATATAGATAGCTTCGTGGAAAGATAATTTATCACCAAAAAAAAAGACAAAAAGGAACATTTCTGAGGATATTATAATTAAAGTCATAAAGAAACATGACTTCACATTAAATTGTTGATGTTGCGATGTTTTATTTTTTTATTTCTTTCATTCTTTTATTACTCATCTGTAATTATAGTTCAATTTAAACAAAACTATTGTTTACAACCACAAAATAATTGGTTTTATGTGATTGGTTATACAACAAGATCAATTACAACTTATAATAATAAAAAATAATAATAAAGAAATCAAAATTACCTTGTTTAAGGTGAGATGTTAAGATCCACCAATCCTAGAAGTTGCTAGTTAATTGTCATCATTCTGGTGCACCAACAATTAAATTACCAGATCTATAATCAACTGGTTTTAAACTTTTAATTAAGGTAGAATTCCTTTTTGTGTGTAAGTTTTTATACGTGCAAGCCCACGAACAAGTTCAAGTAAAAATCTTTCAGCAATTAATAGCAAAATCGATGGTTTGGCTTAAAACAAATGGCAACATGTTTTAAATCTTTTCGTGATTATGTGTATTTTATTTGTTTTTCAATTAAATTTTTTATCTGATAATCGTTCAATTCTAATTACTCGATTTAGACAATATAAATCATTATTCACAACAATCGACCAAACATGGCTAATTTTGATTAAGCATTGATAAGGATCTAGACTAGTAGGAGTTCAGAATCTCGCAACTAACTTTATTACTTTCTTCGTGGGCTACCATCTAATCTTACAACCCTCGTTTAAATTGAAAATCGATATTGTAGCTTGTAACATTAGATTATTTTCCCCCTCCCTCACGTTTGCTCGTCAAATTCTGAGTAAATTATAAATTAATCTCCCTCATTTCAAAACAAAAAATATTAATTAAATTTTTTATTTTAAAAACTAATTATTTAATTTTCGTATTTCGAAATCTTACTGTAATTTAATCTATTTTGCTCTTTTTAAATTCATTTTGATTTTTCCTTGCACGAAATAGAAAAAAGAAAAAAATATGAAAAAATTGATGAATGATAAGAGATTTTATAAAATAAAAAATAATATTAAATTAAACATGTTTAATACCAATTAAAAAGTTAAATAATAATTTTAAAACAAGAAGGAGTAATTAATTTATTTCTTAAAACTATAAGGACTAATTTATAATTTACTCTTTAATTTTTTCTTTCTTTATTGTTATTATTTTTCACTCTTGACCCTAGTTAGGTTTAACTGGGTGAATCGATCAGTTTGACGTGACAACTATAGCATAAATTGCTTTATATATACATGGCCTTTTAATATCATGCACATGTTAAAAATTTAATTCAAATTTATTCTTCTTCTTATTTAATATTCTCATTTCGTTGTCTTGATCAAATGAATAAATGAATTTTATTTATCAGGATAAAGTGACTTCAGTTTTTAGATTTAAAACGTGTTTTGCTAAATCCTAGTTTCTTGATAAGTGTATTATTTGATTAATTTATAATAGATTGTTTACTACTGTTAATAAATGAATAAATTTGAATGCTTATTAAATAAACATGTCTGGTTAAAAAATTATATAAATTTTGATAATTGTAATTGTTCCTACTCGGTATATAGGACTTTTAGATTAAAAAAATTAAATTGAGTCGGTAATGTTTAAGTAAAAGTAAAAACACCCAAAAACATCCTTTTTCAAAAAAAAAAAAAAAAAGCCACATTGCTTATTTATGTTTCTAAATTCATTTCTTACACGTCGCATGAATTCTGTAAAAAATAATTATTTAATAATAGAATTGCTCCTTTTTTATTATATGATAATAATAACAATAGAATTACTCTTTAAGAGAGAAAGGTTAGAGAGAGGAACAAAGTTTTTCGTTCAATCTTATTCTGAATCTTGTCCGACTCATATATGCCAAAAAAAAAAAAATAATAATAAAAAATAAAATAAAAAAAGAGGGAAGGAAATTGTCAGATTCTCTAACTTGTAGGCACAGGTAAGTGAGACATGGAAGGGATGCCCAAATCTTGGTGCAGACCTGCAGTAGATACATGCATCATTGCACAAGGCAGGCGCAGGACGCAACCAAGAGTGAGGAAAGTACGAGACCATTCTCTGCAAAATTAGTAGCCACTTGATTTCAACTTGTTTGCTTGAAATCTTGCAGTCTGCTCTAGAAAATAATAATTGTTTTCTGAATAAAATATAAGAATTTTAATTTACCGCATTTATTTATCATCTAATAAAATGATCAAAAGAACATGCAGTGGAGAGACTAGACGATAAAAATAAGCAAATAACAGAATTTTTCCTTCCTTTTCAAGAAAAATAAAATAAAATCATGAATCATTTCACCCAGCATCAACTCTTAATATTTTGGTTTTTATTTTTCCTTGCGTAAAATAAAAGATTAGTTTATAAACAAATAAATATAGCCTTGTTATGAAACGAATCCAACAAAAAATAAAACAGAAAGACTAAAGCAATCACAAGACATAAGTTTTACGTTGTTTTGACATAATTATCTGATACGATAATTTAAACAAAGCTTAATGATTATATATTCAATAATTTTATTTAGTGAAACAAATTCTAGTCTTACTATTTAGTGATTATGAAATCAAATAAAATAAAAGTCTTTGTTATATAATCCAAAGCCCATGAACCTCTAAATGGAAAAAAAAAAAAAAACTCATAATTCAATGGCTAAATAAGTTGTTAAAGGAAATTTGTTTTTTTTTTTTTTTTTTTAATGAATTGGAATATCAGAGCCAATACATGATAGCATGAAATAAGATATGCGCATAAAATTTCAAATTAAAAACAAAATTGCTATTTATCACTCAATAATATTATAACCTGAAATTCTGAAAATTAATTAAAAAAAAACAAGAGACGAATATGATGAGGATTAAGGCAGGCACATGTTGGACCAATCTGACATCATTCTTAAATTAATTAATTAATTAATGACATCACCACTCTCTCACCAGCAGCATTAAATCAATAAATTCACATTTACTCAACACACCAAATTATTCAATAAAAAATAACAGCCCAAATGATTTTTTTCTTAAAAGGAAAATGCTACAATCTTATCATTAAATATTTGGAATTTACAACAATACCCCCAACCCCCACGACTACCCCTTCGTACCAACGCCGCCACCACTTAATGCGGCGGCCGGCAACACTATGGAATTCGTAAATTGCACAATAAGGACAAAACCCATTAAATTTTTTGGAGCTTCTCTCCCTTAACAACAGGATTAGCTTTAGCGATCTGTTCTTTCCCCAAACTCTTAAAATCAAATTCACAATCATGCTGTTCTGGGTACCTGTGTGTTCCACAAAACACCATGCCACACCTACACTTGAATCCCGTCAACCCCACGCGCCTCCTACAAGTCAAGCACCTATTCGGCTGCTGCTGCTGCTGCACCACAACCGCAGGTTCTGCCTTTACCTCTTCCTTATTATCATCTTCCACCACCGCCACCACAGGAGCTGTCTGGTTGGTGCTGACTTTTATAACATCAACGGCTGGGGATGCAAAGGGAGAAACAGAAGCAGATGATGATGGGTTTAGGAGCTGATTCAAGGGCTGTGATTGATGAAGATCACGATAACACTTAGAACACAAATTTTCAGTTGCTGGGCTTCCAAAAAACCCGCAGTTGTTTACGCAGAGACGCGGTTCTTGGCATCTGTGTTGTTCTTCTGCCATTGTTTTCACGATTTCTTGATTTCCTTCTTTTAATCTACAAAACACAAGGAAAAAAAATCCCAAGATTTAAAAACACATAACAACAACAATAAAACTAGCTGGGCTCGAATTATTCTCTGCAATCCACACGATCAAAGCTTGTAAACCAATTTTAGAACAAAAGAAAAAAAGAACAGAATCGGAGAAAATTGCAAGGTTTTTAAGTTATTACCTGTTCAGATCTGTTGATTTGCAGGAAAATAACTTGTGTGATTTTGTATTTCTTTTTTGGTTTGAATTAGAGAGAAAAGCAAAAGGCAGAGAAAAAGAGAGGGTTTAAAAATTAATATATAGGGAAGGGAAGAAATTATTGTGTGGAAAGGAGAAAGAACCCTGTGTCAAAAGGATTCGTGTTGAAGGTAGATTCCACACACCTTCGTTTTCCTCCCTTTTCCTTTCTCTTCGTTTTCCTTAGGGATTAAACAAATATTGATTCCTTTTCTTTCCTAATAAGGATACGCGTTAAATAACAACGATTTTTTGGTTTTTAAATTATAGCCGTCAAAATGTTCGAGAAGCCGTTTAAGTCACGTTTATTCAGGGGTAAGTTAATGTTAGGGCTTGGGATTTTTGTTTTTATTTTTTTCCGCGTTCAAGTTGGACCGTTTCTATTTACGCATAGGATAAGGACGTGCTAGAAACATTGAATTTACGCCCAACATTTTTTGGTAGTTAAGTAATACCATAATATATTTATTTTACAAGGGAGTGATAAACATAAAAAATTTAAAAAAAAATAAAACAGATAAAACTAAAAAATGAGTTTTATTAATATTTTTAGAGGATCAAATGTGACATTTTCTTATATTTTTATATTAATTTTTTTAAAAAATAATTATATTTTTTTATATTTATATAATACTCAAAATCTTCTATGTGTTTTTAGATTTTTATTTACATCTCATTTGTTTTAAAAAATGTTTGAAATATTTAATCTATTCTTCAATCAAATAATTTTTTTATCAAAATTTTCTTAATTGAAATGCAAAAGATAAAATAAAATAAAATTTATAAACTTTAAAAATAAAATATATAGGTCATGTGATTTAAATTTTTTTTTCATTTTTTGATTTTTTGTATTTTAGTTATGGATATTTTAGTAAAGATATTATAATCAAAAAATTTAATCGGCAGAGCAAATTAAATATTTTAAAAAAAATTAAAACAAAAAGAGATTTTAAGTATACGTGTATGTGTGTGTTAGATCTTAAAAAAGTTTATAGAATAAATATTGTTAGTAATTATTTTAATATTTCTGATTTTTTTGTTTTTTTGTTTTTTTTTTTTTTGCCCTTTAGAGTGTTTGTAGGATTTAAGACTGAAGGGACCAAATCAATGTCAGTCAAGTGGGTGTTGTATTTTTATACATCTTAAAATTTCTTCTCTTTTTTATTTATGTGTTTGAAGGATTAAGATAGAAGGGATCAACCCGAAAGGAAGTCAAGTGGGTGTTGTATTTTTTTATGCATCCTTACTGTTTTGCCAATTGCTCCGCTTGACTTCTTCCTTCTTCTCCTTCTTTTCTTCTTTTTTTTTCTTTTTTTTTCCTTGATAAAAGCCCCACTTGATGCTTCAAATAGCAAACTCAAGTGGGCAGTGATTTAAAAAAAAATTAATTTGAAAGAAAAGAGCTTTAATCCTTTAAATAAATGATTTTGAATTTAAGTTATATGTAAAAAAAATTCTCTAAATACTTGTTTTAACCATGTACACTTAACAAAATAGTGATAGATTAGTGTAGATTTTTAAACCCGAGATGTCTTGTAAGATAAAAAAAAAAAAAACATAAAATCCATTTGTATATCATGATCTTATTAAGAAGTTTGCTTGCATAATTTCTTTTTTCTTTATATAGATAACTAATTATAATTTCTCTTTTTTTAAATAGTTCATGTCTAATTGTATATTCTATATAATAGTACATATCTAATCTTATTAAAAAAAAGATAGCATGACTTGTTTGAACATTCTCTCATGGTTGTTGTCATTCTTGATTTAAAAAGAATATTAGTCTCGTTTTTATTTTGTAGCTGAACCAACCAATTGAATGTTGATATATATGTAAAGAAATTTACGTCCACAAGGTAGCTACACCAAAATTCTATTTAATTGTCACTTTCATTTTTTTTTCAATAATAAAATCATGTCTCCTAAAACAGGAGGAATCTTTTCTCCTTATTGTCACGTAATTCAATATTTTTTGAAGTAGTTCGGTGCTTGTTAATTTTTTTTTTGATGTCGTTATATGCTCAGAAAGCAATTCCCGATGCGATCCATCTGTCACCTCTGTCCCATGGAGCAACAGGCTGGTTCAACTATGTTGCATCCACAGGTTTGTGGAGACACTTTCATGATTCTTCATAACAGATAAGTCTCATCGTGAAGAAGATATTTATTCCTTTTTTTTTTTTTTCAAATTCTGGACTTTTTTCCAAGTGCACTAGGCAACATGCTTGGGCAACGAGTAAGACACTTTTGGTTCCATTATAGTTAAGCACTAGATTTTTTTCCCGTGCTTATGCTGCGGATTGGATAAAATATATAAAATCATATAGAAAAATTATTTCGAGTTTAATAATTTGTTTTATGATAAAAAATAATTATAATTTTTAAATAAAAAAATTTATATTTAACTATTTTTTATTTGTGTTTTTCAATTTTAGAAATAAATAATAAAGCAAATAAATTATTGATTTATTTAAAATTTTAACACCTAATTAATTGTTGGTTCTTTTAAAATTTTAACACCTAATATTATTAAGAAATTAAAATTAAAAAAAATTCAATGTTTAGGGAAAAAAAAAAAAGGAGGCCAGCTGTTTACTTGTTCATGTGAATAGTAAACGAACGGAAATTTAAAAAAAATAGTGTTTAGAGAAAAAAAAAAAAGAGGGCAAGCCGTTTACCATTTAAATGAACAATAAACGGGTAAAAAAAAGGAGAGGGAAGGCCAGCGAGTGCTGGCAAAAAAAAAAATTGAAAACTTAAAAAACAAAAAAAGCCAAAGTACCATAGCAATGAAAAGTGATTAACACCGTTCATTGCTACGGTGAAAATGATTTTTTTTTAGTATATAGTATTAGATTTTTTATCTCGCTCTATATTGCGGGTTAGATAAAATATATAAAATCGTTTAGAAAAATTATTTCAATTTAATAATCTGTTTTACGATAAAAAATAATTATAATTTTTTAATCAAAAATTTTATATTTAACTATTTCTTATTTTTTAAAAATTTTAAAAATAAATAATAAAGGAAATAAATTGTTGGTTTCTTTAGAATTTTAACACCCAATTAATTGTTGATTCTTATAAAATTTTAACACCAAATACTATTAAGAAACAGAAATTAAAAAAAAATTCAATGTTTAGAAAAAAAAAAGTGCAAGCCGTACTGTTCATGTGAACAGTAAATGGGTGGAAATTTTTTTAAAAATTAAATGTTTACAAAAAAAGAAAAAGAAAAAGGAGGAGGGCAGGCGTTTACTGTTCAAATGAACAGTAAACACATTGGTTGGGAGGGGGAGCAGCGGGTCTAGCATAAAAAAATCAATAAAAATAAAAAAAAACAAAACACTGTAGCAATAAACAGTGATTTTTCACTGTTCGTTGCTACAGTGAAAAACCATTTTGGTTTAGTATATAGGATAATAACCCTGATGATGCATCGTGTGCTTAAAACCATCGCTGTTTTTTTTTTTTTCCAAACGAAATTTTAATATATAATTTATATTATTTTTTAATATAATTTTTTTTAAAAAATTTATACTTTAAACTTATACAAATTTATTATTATTTCGTGTTTAATTAAAAGAACTCCATATATGCAAAAAGAAACTGGTAAAGGATTGTGGCTTGAGACACCACCAGCTTGGCTGATCCCAAACTTGCCGTTCGCCTTCAAGAATTAGTGCATCAAATGTTGCTTTTAGAACGACGGATAAATGGCTTTCTTGAACGGTACTAAGATGCATTGCTCAGCTTCAATGCAGTGCGGTGTTTGTGTTTCATTTGTATTTCTTCTTTCTGAAAGCAACATTCCAAGTCAAAATTCCTCAGTGCCCATCATTCTGAAAGGGAAAGAAGCTTTTAGCTTTTGATATTTTGTTGGTTGCTGCTGTCAACGAGCGATAAATTAATTCAAGTTGTAAAATGGCACAACCACGCAACGTGTGGTGGATGGCTAGTTACAAATATAATTATTAGAAGGTGAAAAAAAATATTCTTTTTTTGGCGCATAAAATGTAATTTCACAAGAGAGGGAAAAAAAAAAGAAAATTAGCAATTTACTCTTATTTAAATTCTTGCGATTGTTTTGGAATTTTAAGTTTATGATCGACAGAGAATGCATGTCTCCTTCTAAAAAAAAATTTATAGGAACACAAATAAAAATATATTAGTTGTAATAATATGATTGTGTTGATTTTTTGAAGTTAAATTTTATAATCAATATTTATAAAAATTTATTAAATTTTTCTAAATGTATCTTATATTATGAAATTGTGAATATATTTTCCTAAAGTTCCCTCGATGATGTAACAATGATAATATGTTTTTATAATGTTTTTATATTTCAGTTTTTTGTATTAAATAAACGTTGAAATATATTTTTTAATAATTTTTTATGTAATTATTAAATATCAAAAAATTATTTCTTTAAAAATAGGTTTTTCAAAGTTGTTTTTTTTTTAATTAAAACTTATTTTTCGTCAAATAAAGGAAGACTAAGGTTCTTATCGGTAGGTAGAGAATGCACGTCTCCTTCTACGAGAAATTTATAGAAACACAAGACACAAAACATACTAGTTGTCATAACATGATTGTGCCAAGTCGCTGCCCATGTTAATCTTGAGTCCTTGTCTGTGTCAAGTCGCTGCCAATGTGATATAATTCAAGACAAATCACGAGAATTTCTGAAATTTCAGCAAGTAGGCGTGTATAGTGGTTTCTGGATGTAAGTTGTTGGATACGAACCTTGTTCTCTAGCAATTCATGTTCACAAGTCTTGACAAAAATCTCCGATTTGTACGGTGTTATAGTTAGCTACTAGAAGATCTAAACTTAGCCCAAAAAAGCGCATTTTGGAAACGGCTAGTGACATCTTTGTACGAGGACAAACAAATCTCGAGAGGTTTTTTCAAAGGAGTTGTATTTTCGAGAAGGTTTTCTATCATAGTTTGAGTATTTTTTGTGCTGGAAATTGCTAATTGGATATAATTAGTTTTTATATCCATTTATTTTAAACAATAATATTTTTAATCGACAATATTTTGATTCATGACATGACAATACATTTTTAAGATCCATAATTGTCCAAAAAATCAAAGATAATATTAGAAAATATTTTGATAAGAATGTTAGTTATTATTACCATCGACTAAATTAAGCTATTATTTAACAAAAATATAAAGGGTATAAATGGCACCATTACTATTTACTTATACGTCATTGTATTACAATTGAATAACTCGTCATAGACCCTAACGATAATGAGGAGAAATTTTATTCTATGATACACTTTGAAGAGAGAGATAGAAAAAAAAAAAAGAAATAAGAGAGAGAAAATTAAAAAAAAATTGAGCAAATGTGAAAATCTTCTTATCACTTTTGGTAGATTAGATATAATTTAAGGTGTCTATCTCTCTCTTCGAGTGAATTCATAGAATAATTATTATACATGTCACTAATTACTCTTTGTGTATTATAAAATTTCTTAACAAGTAACACACATTTCCAATTGAATTTAAAACAAAAAAAATCCCTGATTTCCAATTTTTCACCAAATTTACCATCCACTTATACTATTCATGGTGTACGACAGCGTATTACAATTGACCTAAAAAGACCCTATTGCTTGTGTTTTGGGCTGCCATTGTTATCGGCCAAAAATCCAACTCTCAACATTCACAAGTTCCATGGTAGTAGTCCTTCCAAGTTCCGATTCTTCCACTTGATCCTCCTTGTCTATTTGTGGGCTAGCTTTATTTTTGGCTTGGGTGTGAAAAGTAGTGAGGATGGATTAGTCATTTTAGGAAAATACACAGAAATTAGATTATTTTCTCATATTAATTCAAGCAAGACATTTATATAGAAAACAAAAAGGAACAATACTACTTCCCTAGAGAAAAAATGGGTGTTATGTTCGCAAAAAAAAAACACCATTATGGTCCCAATACATAACTAAATTACTCAATTACAGTACCAGGTAGGTCGAGGAATTGGCCCATGACATGGTGGAAGCACAAATGGGAAAATGTCAGCAATGGAAACATAGGTCACAGGGAACATTTTATCTGAGACAATCATCAATTCTTTCGTTCGAAGGTTGTAAGAAACAATGTGCGAATCAGTAGTAAGATAAACTAAATTCCGTATCAAACGGGTGGAAGTCAGTACTGGCTGTAAATAAACTCATGGTTCTGAAAGAAACCTCTTGAGATTGATACGGAGGGACATCATATCCTTCAATGGAGTCTCGCACCTCAAACACTACAATAGGTAACAATTACTAAATGGTTCGGCAAAATTATGTTTACATGGAGATAGCAGAGGCTTCCGCAGCACATTCCAAGCACTCCGGGATTACTGAGAAATTCCACTTCCTCTAGGTAAGTCGATCAAGCGGCACTGATCAGGATTCTTGCTTGGATCATATGCTATGATTGTTCTAGGATAAAATGCAAGCCAATGCATAATCCCATTGGAGAGCACAGCAAACAATCTCTCGGATGCATACAAACAGGCCGAGGACAAGACACTTTCATATCCATCCTTAACAAAATCTAGAGAAAAAATTTCCACATGAAGCACATCTAAGTTCAGACCAGAAACCAGTAATTCGCACCAGTTTGTAAGATCCATATTGGCTGCTGCTGCAACTGAATCTAATGAGCACCCATTTGCGGTTGATTGGAGGGGTTTAGGGTGAGAGACCCATTGTTTTAGTGGATTGCATACATAATAATCAGTTTGCCTATACCGAGGCCATTGCTTTGTGCTAAAACTTTTGGGGTGTTGATCTCGTTGGCGGGCAAGGAATTCAAGGGAAAAAATTGGCGATGAGAAGTCAGGACGCTGTTCTAATGCTACATGGAGGCGCATATGTTTGGCAGGAATCCGATTCCGACGAGATCCATGACGTCCATACTGATAAAGAAGGTACCATGCTGGAAATGAACTAGTCTTCCGAAAAGAAGTGGCAAAAGAAGGATGAGAAATAAGAGAAAGCCATCGCTTGGATTCAGCTTTGAACTTGAATATAGCCTCCAGTGGAAGTCGCAGAAGTATTTCGACCAAAATCTCGTCTGGGATATCAGAATCATCAACAACATTCACGAACTTGATTGTGGACATAGGCATCCTTATCCTCCTCGTCTTGCTGCTGCCAAACCTCTTATTACTCATTCTTCAGCTTCATGATCCTGTAGGGTTTGATTGAACGAAACTAAAGTCAGTCTTATTGTCTTCAAGTTTCCTCTCATCCTACGTTTGTATTTATAGAAAAAGCATTGAGAAGTCTTAATCTTTGAGCTTTGGGCTTTTAAACTTGCTCCAAAATGTCTTTCAAATTTTGTTTTCTTTGAGCTTTAGGAAGGCCCAAACTTTTCGTTTTTTTTTTTTTTGCTCTTTAATTGTTAACTTTCTTTTTCGAATGCTGCTTGAAGAATTACCGGCCTTGCCCTCGTAAATGTCCAATCTCATTGTTAAAATAAAATAAAATAGAAAAAAATAAAGTTGAAAAATAACTATACATAAAGCCATATCTATAAAGTAATATTAAGAATTTTGCTTTTTTTTAATTTCTAGTTTCGAAATAGTTCGTATGTAATTGTATTTTTTATATAACACATACCTGAATAAAAAATTTATAAATATTTTTTAATATTATGAGCTTTTGTCCAAAAGAGTTAAAAAATAACATGGGACAATAATAAAAAATAACCTATAAAAAATTAACTAAGGATTCAATTTAATAATTTGATGAATTTAGATCTAATTTAATTATTTTCATATTCTCATATTTTATGTTATTTATCGACTTATTTTTTAAGTTTTTTTTTTTAGAGTTTTGATAGTTAAAATAAAGTATTAGTATAGTACTATATAGTTTAGAAGTTATTTAAATAGCTTATTTTATATTATTCAGAATTTTATGTGGTATATAAGCAAGAATATATTGAAAAAACAGGATTAACCTATATATTTAGAACTTATTCTAAAAAAAATAGCCTATTTTGAGGAGTTAAATAAATTTTATCATATTTTTTCTCAATTAGAGGTTGGGTTGAAATTACTTAATAGTATTAGTCAAAATTTGCCTCCATCTATCCAATACCATCACCCAAACATACAAAATTACCCTCATGTCAAAAACTCAACACTAACCTAATTTATTAAAAAAAAAACCACGTGACAATTCAGGTTTTTTTTTTTTTTCATTTTTTTTATGTAGGGTTTGAATTTCTCAAATAAACATATTTTCATCAGTTTGTATAGAAATATTTATTGGAATAATAAATTTAAAAATAAATTGAAATATGAAAACAGATTGAACACAATTTGACATGTAGAGACATACCACCGGATGTTAGGTTTAAACTTAAAATTCTTCAAAAGAAAAAAAAATGGTCAAAGTGAGTAAAATGTTCAAAGCTTTTATTTCCGAATGAAAAGATCAAGGAAAACTATTACATTTTCCTAAGAGTTGCTCCATATTTATTGAAAAAAAAATTAATCAGACAAAGTACTATCAATAATTGAAAAAAAAAAAAACTGATGAATTTTGTTAATGCGAAAGTAAAAAAGTACTACAATTACGGAGGCAGCAGCTCTCTAAAACCAAATTGTGAAATAAGACTAGTTCTTATGATAATAGCGCAACTTCAACAGCATGCCAAGATTAAGTGAAAAAAGATGGAGCCACCATTTTAGTTTGCAACAGCTACTATATAAGCATTCCAAGCATCTTCTTGTTCAAAAGTCTTGACCTCCTCATACTTCATGTCTCGTCCAACACCAAATCCTTCTGTACTCCTGTTCGCTTCAGTGTCTGGCATCTGCCGAAGCCAAAAATGGACAGATCGAAATCCAGCCTCTTCCAAGCAATCCTTGATCTCTGGCAATGACCACCTGTGAACATGAGGAACCATTAGCAGAAATTCTATATATCAATGGGAGCATCGAACGAAGAAAATCTTTAGCTGAACATTTCAATATGAGAAAACACAACTTACAGTCTCCAACTGTATGAAAATGCATGGCGAAGCTTTCTCTGCTGCTTCTGGAGATGAAAGTGGAGGCTAATCCTTGTTTTGCGCCCAATGATGTCAAATTCAGCTTGCTCCCAAATATACTACACATGTTATTTGCAATTTAGAATTAAAAAATGTGGTTTGGAGCTCCAAAAGAAATTTGGCAGCAAATGTATTTAGTCCTGCAATTGAAGGAGGTCAGGATTCTTATGTTATGTAATTGCACTTCTGCTTTCAGCTATAAAAAAAGAAAATATTTTAGGCCAAAAAAGTCACTAGTAAATAGGAAATTGTCAGGAAAGCATGGCAAGAAAAACCACAGGTTGAGTACTAGCCATGAAACGTCATATGCATGGACTGCTAGATTAATTACATTGACTTCAAAAAACAAAAAGGGTCCATGTCTGCTATTAGAAATATAAATTTCTGAAATACAGAAAATGAACTTTTTTATCCCATAGATTCCTAACGACTAGCATTAAACTAGCATTAACTAAGGTCATCATGCTTGTTTCAGCATGTCATTAAGAATAAAAAAAGTTTGCCATGCATTGTTACACCCATATCAGCATGAAGCAGTAGCCTATTACAGACTAATATAAAAGTTCATACACAGCTTATATTCTAATTATTTACAAGATACTAATCCATAGTAGCCTTTAAATCTGAAATTTCCCCTGAAAGGAAATTGATGCATGTAAAATTAGTACTTAAACCTTCCTATTAATGTTGCAGATTAGTATGGGTACTGAAAGCATATAGACTATACCGTAAAATTTGGAAATCTTCTCTGAAGCCTTAGCTTGCTCTCTGATGATGTACCACCATATAAATCCATCACAAATATACCACCCTTTTTGGACAAGACATCGAGAACGTGCTTAAAATACAAAACCAGATCTGCTCGTTTATGAAGACAACAGCAACTGTAGTTAAAAGCACACACGATATCTCGTGGAACTAGCTGAACATTTCTCTTAATGTACTTATCATCCATAGAAGTAAATGAGCACACCTGGACAACAGATTCTAGTTCATTACTTTCCTTGTCGTCTTTGCAATCCTTTGATTTAATGTTACTGACTATTTCTTGAGACTCAAAATTGACTAATTTTGCCTCAAGAGGCTGCAAGACATTTCCATGGAAGAGGGATATTCTAGAATATCCATTAGCTCCAACTTTATTCATGTTATTTTCTATGCACCAATTTAGTGCCTCCAGATCCAAATCCACTCCTACAGCAGTCCGCCTCGAGTCATTGCGAAGCCATTCTGTACTGCCAAAAGAACAAAGTTGTGAAGGTATGATCAGCATTGCATTTGAAAAGTAGCTTGCAAACTCATCTTGTTTAAACTAGTCATTTTTATTCAAAAACAACACTTTAAGCAATGCAGAAAAACAAAGCAATAGGCCTTTCGCTAGCCTACTATATTCGTTAAGACATGTGTCACATTAGCAGCAATTTAGAATCTGTATCTCAGGGAAAATATTTTTCTATCTTTCAGTTTTATTTTCACACTGAAAAATTGGTTAACAGAAAACATTTTCCTTGTCAATCTGAAAACAAAGTTCATTTGGGAGAAGATATTTTATCTTTTAGAAGGAAGAGCAATTAGTTTCTGAGGAACTACCAACCACAGTTTGTTGATAACACCACCTCCTAATCACTTCACCAATTCTATCACCGCCATTGCGACCATTACAACACCACCGCCACTTCAACTCAGCTGTCATCACCACTAGCACCGTCATGTTACAAATACAACCACCACAATCCTGGCTGCCACCACCATGATTATTGCAGTCATCACCACCACTAGCTTGTAACAAGCATAAACATCACTGCAACCACACTTTATCACCATTGCTACTACTACCTTATCACTGTCGCTACCACCATCACCATCTTCAGCCGTCCCCCCACAACTGCCTCAACTACCATCACCACCACAATCTTACCACCATCATTTCACCACTCCTACTACAACAACCAAATCACCACGTTGTCGCTGTCCTAACCACAACCACATTGTTCCCATTATCACTCAACCAATTCTACTACGACAACCACAATCACCACCACCACCACCACCTTATTGTTGATGCTCTCACCACCATCACTCTACGATTAACAATGGAAAATGATTTCTTTTTTTCCAAGAAAAATTTTCTGTGAAACAAATGCATCTTTATATCACCAGCCAGAAGATGATATTTCCCTCATAATTAAAGCAAATTAAGATTCAAAACTATGAAAATATAACTAATTGGTGGATAGGAAGAGGATTAACGCTATTGTGATAATTTTCCTCATCCAAATATCCCATTACAAAATATGGAAAGCACTGTCTCTTGGTTTTCTACAACCAACTAACATTTGCTTTCGAAATTAGAATAAAATACTAGAAAAATGTGGGATGGTTCTCAATCTTTCATCAACTCTTTCAAATGCGTTTCTGCCCATACATCTTAATTTATTTCTTTAGCATCTTCATGTCACTCTCATATTATTTGTGTCTTTAAGTAAACCTCATCGAAAAGGAGGGAGAAAAAAAGGGGGAAACGCTACAAAATGATCAAGCAGTAAAGCTAAGTATGTTACCTAAGAAGAGCAGTGCCACAAAAATCTTCCTGGAGATGAAGGGGCAACCTCCCACCCACGTACAATAAAAAGAACTTCTGCAAGTAGCTTATGTCTCCTTTGGGTGACTGCATCCACATATCACACAAAATCCCTTAAAATCCCACCTTTACAATCATAAAAGCACACACTTAAGAGCAGAAAACATAAAGCTCATCAATAATTCTGCTATTCTACCTAACGTTCCTTCGTAATTGCAGCAAATTCAGACACAAAAACCCACTCCTACATCTCTACTTCCTCGTCCACATTCTGTCAAGAATCAAATGCAGCACTAAAAAGAAAAATTGGTTGCTGGGTTTTGCATTTTAGCTTTTGTTCCTAGTCTAGTAGCCACATAATAAGAAACAAAGAGGCCGAAACTTTCTCAAAAACCAAACAACTATACTCCATTCATTTACCTGTACTGATTGCTGGTAAAGAAGAAACTTTGAAGGCATGTCTTTCATTGATGTTGTTGTATCATCGACATTCTCCTCCTTCTCTTCTTCTGCATTGGAGTCATCATGTTCTGCTTCTGGGTCTTGATCAGAAAGAGAAGAAGAGGCTAAGATCTGAGAGTAGTTGTTATTGAAGTCGTCGTCTTCTTCTTCGTTTCTATAGTAAGAAGCTCCTCTTCGAGAAGTTCTCTGTTGCTGTCTTTGTTTCTTTTCTTTCTTCCCCATCTCCTTGTTTGCCCTCTTCAGTCCTCACCTCTCTGCCGCCGCCAGCATCAACGTAGCACGCCTATATTCACCAATTCCGGATGTGCTTGCCGAAAAGTTTGATGCATTAAATAAACATTTCATCATTGAATATTAAGTTTTCGTGAGGTAAATTCGGAAAAACTTTAAGTAAAAATGATTTTTACTTAATAGTCACATGCCGGATTCTGATTGTTTTATTAAAAAAATGATTTTTAAGTAACTATAATTTAAAGTTAAATTGATTTTTTTCCCTACGTTCTTGATTTATTATTATTCTTTTAATGATTGAATAATTATAGCATGCTTTTCTACGTAATATTTTAAAACTTGATAGTCACATGTTGTAATTAGCGTTAATTTTTTTATTTGACTTTTTAATTAACAAATGACTTGAAAATTGTCAAATATGATGTAGATGATGATTGAATCAAATGGTTAGTTTATTATAACAAAATATTCGAAAAGTTGTAGGTATGCAACTTAACTTACCTCTGTGTAATTGAGTCTCTCTCTCTCTTTTTTCTTTATGTACATTTTTCAATTTTTTTTACGTCAATTTTATAGCGAAGAAAAAAAAATCATGTCTATAATTTTTATTTAATTGTGAAAGTTTGTTAATTAAATTTATTTGTATACTTATATTTTTTATTTTCTAAGTAATATAGAGCAAAAATTATCGAACATGCTAAATACCAATTCTTTAATAAATGCGAGGTTCAACTTACAAAATTATTTTCTTAAAAGGTGATGGATCTATGGATTGCAGATATATTCAATCAGAACATGAGAAATAAGTAGGAAAACTAAAATAAATATAATTTTTTATTTATCTTGAAGATAAATATTATTGTTAAAATTACTAGATTAACATATTTTTATGAAAATTAAAAAAATATTTATTTATAATAAAAATATATGTTACAAATTCTTATTGGAGTTTGCTTATAATTTTTTTTTTCAAAAGAATTCACTCATAATCTATCTCACAAGTTTAATTAAATTTTTTGTAAATCATATTTTTCTTTAAAATTCAGTTACAAATAACAATGATATATATATATATATATATATATATATATCATTATTACAAACAAGCAAATTTATGTATGTATGCGTATGCGAGCGCGCGCTACGTCTTAAATGATTCTTACAAACAAATTTATGAGAATGTTTTTTTTTTTTAATAAACGAATAATTGCAAGTCGTTAGTTAAAAACAATAAATAATAATGAAGAAATAAAAACTATACAAATTTAGTTTTGTATTTAAAGTTTATTTCATTTGTTTAGGGCTATAGAAACTCGAACTTATATTTTCTCTAATCAAGTTAATTATTTGGATATACCTCATTTATACTCTTAAATAATAACATCATCAAATCAACACATTTTCTATATATATATCTTCTTCTTCTTCTTTTCTGCTGAACATATCTTCTGCTTTCTACTAATTTAGATATGTCACCTGAATTTCTTATGCATATTTTTCTTTTCCTAAGATCATATAATATGATGAATTTTGTAAAATTGTTAATGTCACTTGCGCACATAGATATATCCGATTTCCGTAGTCATCCCAGTAAAAAAAAAAATATTTTTCTTTTCAGGAAAATGATTATTTGAGTTTTTCTTTTTCTTATTTTTTTTATTTACAAAAATCAATATTTGAATTCTGGTATAACGCCATAAATTCCCAAGCTGTCAGCCAAGTCTCAATTGTATCCTCAAATAATGATTTCTCTCAACTAAATCTTCATTTCCTAAAAAATCTTAACTAAACCATCTTCTCAAAAATTATCCTATTCTTTTAAAACAAAAACATTACTTTTCAATTAAAAAAATTATTTATTTTTCCAAAACAAGCATTTTACATGCAAAACATCATAAGAAATTTAGATATAAGATTTAAAATGTCTAATCGAAAATTTCTAATATGCCACAAAATTAAATGAAAAATCTTTTTTGAAATTCAATTTTGAATTGATGTATAAATTGAGGGTTTATATGAAATACCTCTTAAAATTTTTTTAAAGGGCAATAAATTCAAAATTTTCAATGCTCAATTTTTTTCTTCTTTTTTTAAAAAAAATAAATAAATAAAAAACAAAAAAAGGTCAAAAAAAAAAAAAGAGAGAGGAGAAGAAGAAATAACTTTCTATCGCCATCGTTAGCTCACAAACTAGTCATCCATGACTAATCCACCCTAATCAGAACTTTCCTTAATCCTTCTTTATTTCTTCCACACGCGCTACCATCCCTCCTTCACATGCTTTTCCTCTCTTTCACTTTTCTTCCTTTCCAATCCCTCCCTTCTCTCAAAATCCCATCCTCAATCTCTCCGATCAACAAAATCTGATAAGAAAATTCCTGATTTCTAGGGTTTCAAAAGTCTCTCCAGAATTAGAATTTCTCTCATGCAATCACCATCATCACCATCCTCAACCCTTTCATAAATCAAATCAGAATCAAACCTAGATATGTACAGCAATTTCAAAGAACAAGCAATAGAGTACGTGAAACAAGCGGTACAAGAAGATAATGCAGGGAATTACTCAAAGGCGTTTCCTTTATACATGAACGCACTTGAATACTTCAAGACCCACTTGAAATACGAGAAGAACCCTAAAATTCGTGAAGCAATTACTCTAAAATTCACCGAGTATCTTCGTCGGGCTGAGGAGATTAGGGCTGTTCTTGATGAAGGAGGTCCTGGGCCTAATTCTAATGGGGATGCTGCTGTTGCGACGAGACCGAAGACTAAGCCGAAAGATGGCGAGGAGGGGGATGATCCGGAGAAAGATAAGTTGAGATCTGGATTGAATTCGGCGATTGTGAGGGAAAAGCCGAATGTGAAGTGGAATGATGTGGCTGGTCTTGAGAGTGCTAAACAGGCTTTGCAAGAAGCTGTTATTTTGCCTGTAAAGTTTCCTCAGTTCTTTACAGGTGGGTTTTTGAGATTTTCCTGATTTGGGTTTATGAATTGTGCTTGAAAGTTGGGAACTCGTTGTGTTTGTGTGGTTTTTTAGGAGGAAGCAAAGTGTGATTGATATTGCGCTGTTTTTTTTTTTTTTTGCCCTGAATTGGATTGGATTGCTATAATTGATTAATTAGAGATTAGTATATGATTTATCTGACAAATAGGGATTAAAGACAGAGTTCATTTTGTGCTGCGTGAGAATTGCATGGGTTTGGTAATTAAATGGCTAATAAACTCATTATTGTGTTGTACTGACTCGAATGTGATTTATATGTTTGCCAGCAATCTGTTATTGGTGTCGCTGTTTTGCTAATGTTTTCTACTCATAGCTGTCTTTCCCTGTTGCAAAAATGTTGTGAATGAGAATTTTGTTGACCTTTTTGTTATGATTTAGATAGAGGGAAAGAATCTTTTGTTCCATGTTCATTAAAGTATATAGATGAATTCCTTTTAGAAGATAAATGGTGAATGATATATGCAAATTTGAATGAGAGTTGTAAACATCTAGCACCTATTTCTCGTCTGGAAAATCCTCTACTATTGCTTATGGAAGCACTGTTCAGCTACCTTCTGAGAGATGCTTATTTTGCTTCTAGAACTGAATTAAGTTAACTTTGTTCTGTTTCTTAAATTGAAAAGAGAAATTTTGCTTCAATGTTCAACTACAATAATCACAGCCAAAACTCCCATGATAACCAGTTATTGCTGCAGAGTTGAAACCTCTCTCCATCCAAATAGCCAGCAATGTTACTATTTTATGCATGGTTAAACGACTATCTATACCATTGCTGCCTTTATCATTACCCTTTCTTTTCTAAAACCATTATTGATGTCCCAACGATGTCCAGCTCTCGACCACACCAACCTGCTGTGAATTTATACCATCACAACAGCATGAAGATTAAGACAATGCCAGGAAATGCCTTTCTGGATCTTAGAATTTATCATTATTCACGTGGTAGTATTTCGGTTTTGCTTTTGCTGTGGTTTTATGACTACTTTCATAATATTAAATTATAATAGATTGAGCTTAGTATGAAGTAGGCTCATTTATGATTTCTTCTCAGTTGTCTGTCTCTCCATGGGCTTACATGTCTGAACAAGGAACGATGAGAGTGAAAAGAGAATTCGAGTTTTATCTTTCGTTTGTAGAGCCTGTTTCATCATTGGATTTTCCAGTTATGCATCCTTCAATCACCATCTAATTTTGATATTTGTAATTAGCATATTATTGCCATCAAATATATCACCCGACTCTGTTAGGACAACCTTCCAACTGTGAAATCCATGCTGCATTTCATTTGATCTTTATATTTATTTGTCAACCTGTTAATTTGTATTCTTATTATGTTCGATCTACGAACAATGGGAAAGTTCCATGCTTACTGGTTTCACCCTTAGGAATTTTTGGCTCCATCATATGAACTGACTTGATGAATCGTTTTAAGAAGCTAGCAACACCATTCACAGACACACATGCATGCTTGTAACTCCCACCCACCTCTGCACATGGGCTTGTGCGCACCCATACACCCACCCCCTATGCATGCACACTTACTTTGAATGTAGTAGACATGGGAGACCTTCTCTGATGAATGATTGGCCGTTGCCTATGGAGGCACTGTTCATCTGACTTCCATTAACTCCTTATTCTGGGTCAAAGGAAGTTAAGCAAACCATGTCCTATTCACCACATAATGTCAGACCATCGTATTGGCATTACCATTTTATCTTGTTTTTGTAAAGTGGAACATCAATTTGCCTGTATACTTGGTAATGACTTTACATGTTCTGGCAAGGCTTTTGAATAGTTGATGTTCCTCGTTGCGAAGAACAGTTAAATTGAGGGCATAGAGATGCTTATTGCATGTGTTATTGCCGTAATTTCTTTCCTTTTTTTTTTTTTTAAATGTTTGTGGGGACTGGTAAGTTACTGCTATGCCTTATGCTTCTTTTTTGGTAGTGCAGATTACTGAGAAGCAACTCATTCACACTTGCAGCTCTTCCTTTATTGTTCTATTTAAATTGTAAACATTTTGATTCACAAATCTGACGTGTTTTGTTTTGCTGAACTGATGCATCCTCCATTTGCTCTCTTTAGGTAAGAGACGACCTTGGAGGGCTTTTCTTTTGTATGGGCCACCTGGAACTGGAAAGTCATACTTGGCCAAGGCTGTTGCAACTGAAGCAGACTCCACATTTTTCAGGTTTAGATTTTTTATCACAAAATAAATTTTTTATATGCCTACCTTGCGATATACATTTGCCAGTTTGATGTTTAATTTCTGTCTTAGTGTCATGCAAGCCTTTTTGCTCCCTTTTGAAGGGCACTCTGTTGTGTTGCTGCTTCTGTTATGTTTATTACCTTTCTGTAAACACCTCACCTGCTCTGTTGGTGAGACCCTTTATGTTTGTAATTACACCGTATCTTGCTGGTTCTGAATCCTTTTTTCCCCAGTGTTTCTTCCTCAGATCTGGTTTCAAAGTGGATGGGTGAGAGTGAAAAGCTTGTTTCAAACCTTTTCCAAATGGCCCGTGAAAGTGCTCCTTCAATCATTTTCGTTGATGAAATAGATTCCTTGTGTGGCCAACGTGGAGAGGGCAATGAGAGTGAAGCTTCAAGACGTATCAAGACTGAACTTCTCGTGCAGATGCAGGTATCCGTTTTCATGTGTTCGATGGTGGTAAAGTAGAATGCCATTGTGTGTTTTCCTATGCTATTATAAGGCTTATATTTTACCCTCTAGCTAATTTTACGTTCTTTTAGTTGCAATTGTTAATGCCTTTTCATTTCATGACATAAAATTTGATTTGACTCTGAGAGAATTTTTAAACACAATTTCTATAGATTCTGGTTGAGAGAAGTTTGTGGCTTGGTGATGCAGAAGGAAGGAGATTAATTGAATGCAGTTTTTAATTATTATAATAAACCTGACTCCATGGATTATAAGTTCCTTAGTTCTAGTATTGGATTGTTTCCTTGAATTCGTGATGGTAATGTAAACTCCGACTAACAGATAGGCAAACACTACCCAAATTTTCAATTATATTATGAAGTAGTCTGACCTTATTTTTCTGCTATTTAGGGTGTAGGAAACAACGACCAGAAGGTTCTTGTTCTTGCAGCAACAAATACTCCATATGCTCTAGATCAGGTTAGAGGGGTTCTGAGATCATTTGTGGCATTTAATTTTGATTATCAGGACTATTTGGCATTCCTAATCAGTAGTGAGTACAGGCCATCCGAAGACGCTTTGACAAGCGCATATATATCCCTCTACCTGATGTGAAGGCTCGGCAGCATATGTTCAAGGTATTAGGACTTTAATTGATTTAGTAAAAATATTATTCTATTGCGAGAAATATTTTGATATGGGATCATCTTTATGTGAGCTACATATTTTATGGGATTTTGCTATGGCTTGAATTTTTTACACAGGTGCATCTAGGAGATACTCCTCACAACTTGACTGAAAGTGATTTTGAAAGCTTGGCTCGAAGGACGGAAGGCTTTTCAGGTTCAGATATTGCTGTTTGTGTAAGCGCTACTCCAGTCTTTCATTTTATGATTATTTTTATAAATAATTTCTTGGTCATAATGGTCGAGTGCCTGACACCCTGCTTTATGCTATATTTTCGCCCCTTTCAGGTCAAAGATGTCCTCTTTGAACCAGTTCGTAAAACCCAAGATGCTATGTTTTTCGTAAATACTCCTAATGATTTGTGGGTGCCTTGTGGACCAAAGCAACCTGGTGCTGTCCAAATCTCTATGCAGGATCTTGCAACACAAGGACTTGCAGAAAAGGTATGAGCAGATGCTTTAAAGTTTCACCTGTTATCCCCCGTTTTTTGGGTTTTAAGAGGGAGAATATAGTACTAGTCTTGCCTTTAGCCTTTTTGATGATATGGCTGTTCATAACACTGGAATTTGCAGTGTTATGTTTCCAATCCCATGTGTTTACTACTGCATCAAGTGATGGCTATGGGCATGCTTTGGATCTGAGATGCTAATAAAATCAATGATCTTTTTTCTTTCTTTCTTTCTTTCTAAACATGTATAAAAAGGTTTTCTGTTAGTAGGAAACATATGTAAGACCTTGAGAGATGACAAGTGGGATGTTTTCATTTCGACGTCTTGTCTGCTTGTGGCAATGGTAACTAAATTTTATCGATGCTGATAACTGCATCTGCAGATCCTTCCACCCCCTATCATGAAGACAGATTTTGACAAGGTCCTGGCAAGACAAAGGCCAACAGTGAGCAAAAGTGATCTAGATGTCCATGAAAGATTCACAAAGGAGTTTGGGGAGGAAGGTTAATGCAGATGATGACTTAGAGACACATTGGCCCACGCATGTGAGTGCAACCACTGTGATTTGTATTTTAGTTATTGCTGCTGGATCCACTGAATTATTTAACTTTGGGGAAGGTGACTGGTCATTCCCTTTGTATTGAGATGGAATAACTGAAATTGCTTGTTTGAAATTGTGTAAAAAGAAGAGTTTCAGAAATATTGCCGCAGAAAATGCTGCTTGCCAATTTATGTTTGGTGTTTAATATTGCTCACTAACTATGTTTTTTTGCCAGTTGGTCAAGTTTCAGGGATATCTCGGAGCCATATGGTATTCCGTGTCAAATTTTGTTTATACGAGTCGGGTTTGGGGGGCTTTAGTACTTAGCGAGTGTACTTATGAACACATTTGCTATTCTGTTATGGTTTTAACCTTGATGCCTGGATGAGGTGAACACCAGCCCAGGTAAATGCATACCATTGCCTAGAATCAGCCAGGTGAGCACCAACAAAAAGAGGTTCTGTATAATTACTTATTATTCTTTTATTGTTTTAAAGGGTTCTGAGGATGAGTTGCAGTTTGGAAATGTTAATATGGAATCCTTCCCTTTGCAGTCGTTTAGGACAGCCAGCAGCTTATTTTCATCGGTTGATGTTATTGCTACCTATGCTTAGTTTAAGTTGATGTGGAGTTCGTAGAACTTACCAAGAAACTTCCCTTGTGTTTTCTCTTGGTATAAATCTTTGCCCAATATGGATCTGGTTGGTGGCTGCCTTTTTACTTTGCAGATGGGGGAAAAGGCGAAATAATAATAATAAATAAATAAATGAAATTTTGCCTGTGGTTGCTGTATCCTAGAGATACATAGCTGCTGCTGTCCTGTGTTACCTAATGAACGGAAGTCATATGAAATAGATTTGATCTTAATTAGTTAATGAACAATTAATCAAATCAACAGTAAAATTGTCTTTTTTGGGGAAGAACAACAGCAAAGCTGCCGAAGCCTGTGATATGTAGCTCTTTTGTTGCCGTTTCTTTTCCGAGCTTGACCTGATAAGGAGCAAGACCATGCAAAAGGAAAAAAAAACGAAGAAAGAAAAGAAAGAAAGAAGAAGAAAGGAATCAAGCCCACGGCCCTTGATCCTTTGTTTTATTTTGTTCCTTGCATAAAAGGCATCTCTGGCCAGGTTCAAGCAATTATGCCTCAGCACGTCATTCGTCACTAGCTAGAACATGTCTTCTCTGAAAACGCTTGCATTTCGAGTAATACAAATAGAACAGAGAAATATATGATCGTTTTTCTGCCGTTCACTTGAGCACCTCAATTTATCCTTCGGCGTGGTATTGTTAAAAACCTGAAATAATCTGTACTTTCATTTGGTAGCTATCGAAAAAAGGAAGAAGAAAAAACATAACTGTGATGTGCTTGTTTCATGAAGTTAAAAAACATTACCAGAGTATATGATAAAGAGAGATGCCATGCCATTGACTTGCTTACAATGATAAGTCATACACAAAGGATTTGAGAGTAAATAGTGCAATCTGTTTTTTATATAATACTTTAAGTCTGTTACATGTTTTTATGTTTTTAATTACATTTCATCTATTCCTCAGATTTTTTTAAACCCTTAATTTCTCTTTTTTGACCATGGATAATTTTTTTAACTGAAATATTCTTTATTGAAAAAAAAAAAAAAAATACATACTTAAAATTACATGATTAGTATGTTCTATTTTTAAAGTCTTTATTATTTTATTTTTATTTTTTTTGCATTTCACTCGAGAATATTTCAGTTAATTTTATTTTTTATGATTAGAAAAATTGATCGAAAGAATAAATTAAACACGATTAAAAACTTAATTACAGATGATAGACTTAAAATATTATATAAAAATATATTGAACTATTTACCCCTGGATTTAATGCATAAATTGTACAGAGACTTTTTCAAAATCCAACATTTAAGCTTATCCTTCCGTGCTTAAAAATACCTGTCAAGATCACACTTCTGTGAAGTAGAAATGGTCCTTGCATAAGCACACAAATATAAAACGATATCCGATTATTCTTTGTTATTGTCGACAACGGTAACCGGTTAAGGACTTCAACTAGAAACAATTATAAACATCAACATGTAATTTTGAATGTATTGACTTGGAGTATATTACCTTTCGTATAATATGCATTTAAAAAAAAAAATTGATCAGTAGCCGGCTTTAGAAGGTAAATATAATGCATAATCTTAATAATTCTTTGGAATTTGGAGAGGCTATAAAAGGGCATGCGTTACGTATACTGTTATATGAGTTCATATTTTTGGCCACTACGTAGTTTTTCTTTCTCAAAAATCATGGGACTTTACAATTTTCTTACTCTTCTCTTATTCATTACAATTGCATTAGTGCATGGAGCCACAACCACCAAGAAGACAAAGGTAAGCCTGTTAGACTATGAGATGGTAAAGTTATGAAACGTTTGGTTGTCTATAAATTTTTTTGGCAACATTCATGGGATATTGCTTCTGATGGCATTTCATTGCCTCAAGTACTCAACAAATTGCATTATGCAAATGGTGAAACATGCATTTTAAAATGGTGACTCGTTTAATTTGTCTTTTTAGCCATATAGAGGACTCTTCAGTCTACATCAATTGTTAAACGTTAGAAAATTAGTGTTAGTAGTTAATAATTAACAAGATATAAAAAGAGATTATATTATCACGATAGGTTGAATTAACAACTTCTTTTGCTTTCTGTCAATATGCAGCATTACATAGTTTACATGGGTGACCATTCACACCCCAGTGAAGAATCAGTGATCAATGGTAACCATGAGATGCTTGCTTCAGTTACAGGAAGGCAAGGCTCTAATTAATTTGTTGGTTCTGATTCACTTAGATTTTAGTGTAATGCTGACATTACTGAAGAATCTGTCCTATTTTCAGTATTGATGAAGCGAAGGAGGTAGCACGTCACCATTATACTAAAAGCTTTAGAGGTTTTTCAGCCATTCTAACACAAGAGCAAGCTCAGCAACTTGCAGGTACTGCATTTAGTAGCATTTTTCTGATGTTTTTGGCAATCAGAAGAACAGTTTTTGTTAAGAAAAGGAAGAGATACCGAAGGAAAAAACACAAACCGAATCACGTCATCGATCTAACATTGCACATACAGATTTGTATTGAACGACGTGGATAATATACTACTAGATATAGCTAGAGGGAGCACTATTCGGTTTAAAATGAAAAATCGAACTGAATTGAAATTTTTGGTTCGGTTTTTGTTGGTTTTTTTTTTAAATCGAACCGAATTTAATTTTTAAAATTTTTAATTCAATTTTCATAGAAAACCAAATAATATATGTATATATATATTAGTGTGTCTATATGTTTATATATAATTTAGTATTAAGAAACCATAAAACTACCCTATTAGTTTAACCCTTTATTTATTTTTTCATTCCTTTTTTTATTGCTAAATAAATTCTATTAATGGTTTATAAGTTATATCATTTTACTTGGATGTTTGATGTTATTTAATTTTGTAATTGATTGGAATTTTGGAATGATATTTCTTTTTCTTTTTTTATTTTTCAAAATAAAATGATGAATACATAGAAGATATAATTCATGTAAAAAAATTGTTCAAAAAAACCAAGAATCCTAACATGATTTTTATATGAAAGAAATAATTCAGTTTTTCGGAATTTTCTATTCCAAAAACCAAATGATACTTTGGTTCGGATTTGGTTTTGATTTTTATAGATTTGGTTAACCGAAAACCAAACCAAATTTATCGAAACCGAAACCGAATGTTTATGTTTAGATATAGCTATACTTATTCATTGCATTCACTCTTGCTGCAGAAAGAGATTCGGTTGTTTCCGTGTTTGAGAGCCGGACGAATAAGCTCCACACAACGCATTCATGGGATTTTATGGGCGTAAACTCCGTCTATGGAAATAACCAAAGTCCAGTGACTTCGTCAGTGTCCAATGTTATTGTTGGGGTCATTGATGGAGGTAATTCTTTACATCCAGCTCTTTTCTTAGTGGACTCTCTCTTGCTCCAATTTCAGTATCATCGCAGTAAGACATTTTTTATCGTTCGTTTGTCATTGCAGGATTTTGGCCTGAGTCTGAGAGCTTCAGCGATACAGGCTTAGGCGCTGTGCCTGTGAAATTCAAGGGAGAATGTGTTTCTGGAGAAAATTTTACATCAGCTAACTGCAACAGGTATTTCCTTTGCCCCAATGTACCAGCACTCATTCTTTATATTGATACACAATCTTTAAATCGTGGCCAATCACAAGGCACAAAAGTTGACTTAAAGGACTTTTTTTGGATAAAAAATGGACTTCGATATTTAGAGTTGCAATTGCTGCCATAATTTCTTTAAAGATAGTTATGAGTTCCAACAATGAGAATTGGGTTGGAAATTGCAGAAAAGTTGTGGGGACAAGGTTCTACTTCAAAGGATTTGAAGCCGAAAATGGGCCTTTAGAAGATTTTGGTGCCACTTTCTTTCGATCAGCAAGAGACAGCGATGGCCATGGATCCCACACTGCCTCAACGATAGCTGGAGCTGTGGTGCCTAATGTTAGCTTATTTGGGTTGGCCAGAGGCACTGCAAGAGGTGGCGCACCATATGCCAGACTTGCCGTCTACAAGGCTTGCTGGTTTGGCCTGTGCAGTGATGCTGATATTCTTTCTGCCATGGACGATGCAATCAATGATGGAGTCGATATCCTCTCTCTTTCCCTTGGTCCTGATCCTCCTGAGCCTATTTACTTTGAAAGTGCAATATCTACTGGGGCTTTCCATGCATTCAAGAAAGGAATAGTTGTGTCCTGTTCTGCAGGAAACTCATTTTTTCCACACACTGCATCCAATGTTGCTCCCTGGATCCTCACTGTTGCTGCTAGCTCTCTGGACAGGGAATTTGAGTCAAACATTTATCTTGGAAATTCCCAAATTTTGAAGGTAATTTTTGCAAATGTCGTAATTTTTTTTTTCCAGTTCCTTGTGCTTAAAAACAAAAGATGGGGACCAAGAAAGCTACTGACTTTATCAAATGATGACTTCCTTCACATGAAAAAATTGCTGTGCTTTCAGGGATTTTCACTGAACCCTCTGAAAATGGAAACCTCATTCGGTTTGATAGCTGGAAGTGATGCAGCTGCACCTGGTGTTCCAGCAAAGAATGCGAGGTATATGTCCTGATAGAGCTGCAAAGCTTCTTGCAAAATCCAACTTCATTATTCCTGGAAACATTATCGAACTCCTATATAAGTTCCATATTCTATGTTTATTCAATCATTCTTCCATTAGTTTACACGGGGAAAAAAAATCTGGCAGTGATTCTTCCTGCTGCAACTACGAAGCCTTGATTCATTGATTACCTCATGAATTAATTTCCATGTTCTTTATCTAATTTTGAAACAAGTTCTTCCAATCAACCAAGTTCCTATGAAGAATTCTTGGAAACAAAAATTCAAGAATCCTAGATTGTCCACCATCATATTCGATATCAACCAATACCTTGTGAATTGGTAGCGAAAATAATATGAAGTTTCACCAGATTAATACATCTCTAGATTCAAGACCGGTGAGTTGTGCTTGTTGTTAAAGCATTGGTTCCTAATCTATTCTCTGTACTATCAGCTTTTGCAACGACAATACTCTAGACCCTGCAAAGATTAAAGGAAAGATTGTGGTGTGCACAACTGAAGTCATTTCTGATGTTCGAAGACAAAAGGCTGTAGCCGTACAACTAGGTGGAGGTGTCGGAATGATATTGATCGATCCAATCGTCAAAGACGTTGGCTTTCAGTTTGTAATACCTGGCACATTAATTGGTCAAGAAGAAGCACAACAGCTTCAGGCTTATCTGCAGACACAAAAGTGAGTTCTTTAATTTGTTGCATAAAAATTCGTAAGGAAAAAAAAAAAAAATCAAAATGGCATTAATATCGAAATGAAAGCTACTAGTTGAATCGAATAGAACTAAACATACTTTTCTTACTATAGGAACCCAATTGCAAGAATTTCTCCAACAGTTACCGTTTTGAAGACAAAACCTGCACCAGAAGTCACGGCGTTTTCTTCCCAAGGACCGAATATTATTACTCCGGATATTATTAAGGTAAATCCTATCAAATTTTTAATCCATTCAAATTTCAGTCATGTGTAATTTTTGAAGTTGATGATAAAATTAGGTAAACAAGAAAGAAAAATAAATTTTGAAGTAATGATTCGGTCCAACTATCTGAAATCCAATTGCAGCCAGATATTACAGCACCTGGTCTGAATATTTTGGCAGCATGGTCTCCAGTATCAACTGATGGCACAGGTGGGCGATCGGTTGATTACAACATAATCTCTGGAACCTCAATGTCTTGCCCACATGTTTCAGCAGTTGCAGCAATCTTAAAATCTTACAGACCTTCTTGGAGTCCGGCAGCAATAAAGTCTGCAATAATGACAACAGGTTAGAAGTTGCAGCACTGAAAAGTTAATCAGGAAAAATTCAATTCAGTAACAAATAGTTTACACATCTTTCTCCATGCCTGACATCTGCTACTTGAATTCGTTGTTGCAGCTATAGTCATGGATAACACTCGAAAACTGATTGCGAGAGAACCAAATGACACCGAGGCTACACCTTTTGACTATGGATCCGGACATATAAATCCTCTAGGAGCATTGAATCCAGGACTAATTTACGACTTTGATTCCAATGACGTTATTAATTTTCTCTGCAGTACTGGTGCAAGCCCTGCACAATTGAAAAACCTTACAGGACAGCTAAATTATTGCCCAAAGCAAACTAAACGATCATATGATTTTAACTACCCCTCGATTGGCGTGTCCAACATGAATGGAAGCGTATCAGTTTACAGAACAGTTACTTATTATGGTACAGGACCGACTGCTTACGTTGCAAAGGTAGATTATCCAGCTGGTGTTCAAGTTGCAGTTACACCTGCTAAACTCAAGTTCGCAAAGACGGGTGAAAAACTGTCTTTCAAGATAGATTTTAAACCTGTGAAGACTAGTGATGGAAATTTTGTGTTTGGAGCTCTGACATGGAGTAATGGTATGCACAAGGTTAGGAGTCCTATTGCTCTTAATGTGCTTTCGTTGTAGAGACAAGCGTTCTACTCCTGATATCTTTCATACTTTTTGAGTTCAATAGAGGTGTGTGCCTGTATCTTGCGATATCCTATTACAGAAGATCGATATGATGTATTTGAAGTCATTGTCAGTTTAAAGAAAATCCACATGTTAACGATCATGCATTTCTCATCTTCGGATGAATTTTTTTTCACATATTTCAGACTATATGACATTTTTACGAACAATTTGTCCAACGTCAAACAGCTTGTTTTACCAAATTGACTTCAACTTGTCAATGCGCAATTCCTAAAGTTGCATTTCTTATGATCTAAGAAGCTTAGAATGAATCTTATGGGATGCATCAGTTTTGCATATTTCAATGGGAGTTGCATCTAGCCTGTTGTCATTGTTATTGCAGAATTTATTGCTGCTGGAACTGGATTGCAAAATTATGTAGCTAGCAACCAAAGCAACACCTGTGAAATCTGTCAACTATAGTATAATCTCGTTCATTGAGGTATCGGTTACCATAGCAAGGCCAGTAGTTTCTGCTGCTGCAATTATATATCAAGTTGCAGTAACACTTAAATGGAATCCTTAATAGCCGGATAGAAGATGTCTTAGGGCAAGACTCCCTTTTAAGGACAGAATGTGTAAGAAAATAATATAAAATTATTTCTAAAGTCTCACTCAATAACTTAATTTTCTGGGCTGAGATTGTTTTTTAACATGATATTAGATGACCAAATACAAATTTGAATCTCACCACCTTCATTCTATATTCTAATTAAAAATATAATAGCACAAGATAGTATAAATTTGTCTAAATTTTAAATTAAAAAAGCTTTCATTTAAGTGGTGTATATTAGAAAATGATAAAAAACTATTTCTATCTTTTCACCTAATAGGTTAAATTTTTAAATTAAGATGATTTTTTAAGATGATATCAAAATCTTAATGACTAAACAATTACGAGTTTAAATTTCACCATCAGCGTTACTTGTGCCTTAAGAACCTTTCATTTGAAGTAATATCTTAAAAAATAATATAAAATTATAATATATTTTTAAAAAATCATCTGATAACTTAAGATTTTGAGTTAGATATCGGTGTTTGCTTAGCGTAATTGCTTTTGAGTTAGAAATGGTTATTTGCTTTTGCAAGGATAATACTCTAGACCGTGCCAAAGTCAAAGGGATGATTGTAGTGTGCCCAACTGAGAGGTTCTAGCTGATATTCAAAGACAAAAGGCCATAGCAGTACAGCTAGGTGGAGGTGTCGGAATGATATTTGATTGATCCAACTGTGAAGTATGTTGGCTTTCAATTTGTAATTCCATTTCTAGGCACAACAGTCGTTGAAGAAGAAGCAAAACAGCTTCAGGCACAGAAGTAAAAATAAAGCCTCAAGTTGGCTTTCTCGAAATGAACGCTACTGTTTAATCTAATACAACTAAAACACACTTATCTTACTATAAGAACCTAATTGCAAGAATTAATGCTCCAACATTTTCTTTTTTGAACACAAACCTTTCTTCCAATTGACCAAATGTTATCCCTCCGGATACTATCAAGGTAATCTATATAAATCATGTGTAATTCTTAAAGTTGACAGCAAATCTACCGAGAAAGAAACAAAATGTTTAAAGCATAATTTGGTCTAACAATTCAAATCTAATAGTTGCAGCCAGATATTACAGCACCTGGTCTGAATATTTTGGCAGCATGATCTCCAGTGCACAGGTTGGCGATCTGTGAATTACAGCATAATCTCTGGAGCCTGGAACCTCTATGTCTTGCCCACATGCTTTACCAGTTACAGCAATCTTGAAATCTCACAGACCATCCTGCAAGTGTCCAGCAGCAATAAATTCTGCAATAACAATGACAACAGGCTAGATGTTAATTTCAACACCGAAACTTATCAGAAAATTTGCATTTCATGACACAACAAGCATTTGCAGATCTTCCTCAATGTCTTATACAGCTAAAGTTATTCAAACAATCCTTTCTTCACCCTAATTAATTGGTGCCTTATCCTATAAAGAATGTAATCACACAGGTCAATTTGAAGCGCCCCACCCCCAACTCCTTACCCTTCCCTATCTTGAAGAGGCAGACTAACCCTATACCCCACCACATTTCCATGTGTCCCAATTCGATCTCCACTAAGTCCACGTGCCGAGCTCATGGCAATCTCAACGACCCCACGAACCACTGCAAAATCCTATCCCTTCATGTCACCTGCGAGTGCAACTGGAATAAACCCCTAGGTGCCGTTGGATATGCTTGCCATACACTCCTTACTAATCGGATGCCACCGTATATCCTCTCGCACAACTCTTTTCTTTAACAAGTTTAAACCTTTTTTTGAAGGCCAAAAAAGGTCATCAACCCCAATACATTACGCTTCCACCGAATATTCCCAAGCCAATTCCTTTTCCTAGACTAATTTATCTTTATCTTCTTGATGAATTATTTTATCTTTTCTTTTTTCTCTTTATAAAGCTCCTCGCATGTTTCTTTTTCTCTCATATTCCCTGTTTTACAAGCTTTAAGCTGTGCTTAGCAACTCAAACCCCACATTCTTCCTCTTAGAAGATACAAAGGAAAAAAGGATAAAACTATTTTTAAAAAAAAAAAATGTCAGGTTTTGTGAGAGCAAAGCGAGTTACTCATCCTCTCGATGATCAAGCTAAAGCTCGACTCGTCGGTAGACAACTCAGTTACGTCAGTAGCGGAAGCGAACACTCAGCAGAGGATGACGAAGACTTACCTTGTCTGTCTGATCTCGTCCACGGATTTCTTGAGAACGACAACTCAGATTTTGCCGAGGAGCCGGTTAATGGTTACGGATCAGATTCAGACCGAGTCGAATCAGTCGCCGATTGTACGGACTTCGTCGAAGATATGCTGCGATCAAGCAATAAGGATTCGTATAGAAATTTATTATCCGCTCATGTTTGGAAAGCAATGGAAGATTTTTCTAGCTTGAGAAACCAAAGGCCTGTTTTGCGGCGCAAAGTGATGTCGTTTTTGAAAGAATTAGGACACAATGCAGCGATCTGCAAGACCAAATGGGAATCTTCTGGTGGCAGCTTAACCGCCGGCAGTTACGAGTTCATCGATGTGGTGCAATCAAAATCCTCCACATTGCAGAACCGTTACGTAGTGGATCTCGATTTCGCTTCTCAGTTCGAGATCGCGAGGCCTACGAGTCAGTACTTGAAGCTTTCGCGCTCTCTTCCTCGTGTTTTTGTAGGCAAAAGTGAGGATTTGAAGATGATCGTGAAGAGCATGAGTGACGCAGCTAAGAGATCGTTGAAGAGTAGAGAGCTCTCCTTGCCTCCTTGGAGAAAAAACCGTTACATGCAAAACAAATGGTTCGGTCCGTACCGCCGGACTGTCAATTCCTCACAGGCGAACTCCTTGACATCGCCATCGGTTAGCGTTGTGAAATGTAGGTGCGTAGGCTTTGACTCCGTCGACGGCCGTTTGTTTGTTCGTACGAGATGAGGATTATGATTGGAGAAGATTTTAGATAGAGAATAATATAATTATTTCCAAAAAGAATAATCATAATGTGAGATTTTGAATATTTTATGACTCTTTTATGCGTTTGGTTGTTTTTTCCTTTTCTTTTTTTAATATTAAAAAGTAAAAATAAAAAGAAGTGGCTAAGAATAGTGTAATGCGGCAAATGCACACTGTCTTTTTAGCGGCGCTCAGCAGTTGTTCTTTTTAGTCAAGTGCAATCCAGGATCGTTTATCTGGTAACTCGGGGATCGAAATAGGCTAATCCTGGCCGTTGGAGTATGACAACCGTCGTAATCATTAGATCAAACGGTGACCATTGGCTATATCTTGATAGAATGTGGATGAGGATGACGTGTCGGCGTAATGTGATGTGGGTGTTGATGGTGACATTTTATTGATGACAGGTTACTGGCTATTGATTAGGGTGTACAGATGGCATGCATGTAGTGGAAAGTGATTGAGTAATAAGGAGGACAGAAGTGACAAAAAGTGAAAGGCGCGTACGTGTTTGGATAAGGCTTTTTAATGTGATTACTACAAGTTTTAGGAGACCAGACTGGTAAGGTCAAGAGGAAAAGAATCGGCCAAATGCGCACCAAGGGAAAGTAAAATACACTCTGAGTAGGGATGGCAATTTGTACGGCCATTTCCTTTCAAAATTACTATTATATTTCATAAATTTTTATCGTTTTTACTATGAAGGGATTACTAAAACTGATTCATTATATTAAATTAATTTGTGTTCTTAGAGTTTATATATATATATATATACTCTAGATAGTAAATACATGTAAAGATTTATGAAGTATAATTTTAATTTTGAAAGAAAATGAACGGATAAATTGGCATCACTACACATGTAAGGATTTATCTTTTCTAATTCCATTTATGATATTTTCATCAATTTAATTAAGTATGTTATTTATTTGATTGAAAATAATTTAATATATTATGAGTTATATTGTAAACTTATAGTTAAATGTAATGTTAAATGATTTTTTTAATTATATTTTTTATATATATCGTTATCTTTTTACTATAGTTTGAAATTTGATATAAAATAATATAGGATAGAAAAGAATGGGAAGGATGCAAAGAACTAAGCAGGGCACCAACCATCCCCATCTCGCCTCATTGCCATTTCTAAGTTCTAATTACGAGTCCTTAAATTTTTTAGTATTATCTATTTTAATTTTTCTATTTAAATATTTAATATTTTTATTTTAATTCTTTATATAAATATACGCAAAACAAACTTCGATCTATTATTAAAAATTAAAACAAATCATGTTTTTGTTTATCTCCGTCAGTCACACGTCATCAATAAATCAGTCTTTTTTTTTTTTAATCTATTTTCGTTAACCACTAGTTTTTCATACGCAACGTAAAATTATTTTAGTTTGAAAGTTTGTGCTATACTTGTGAATCCATAAAAATATAATAATTATTTTTTATTAAAATTTTTCATTTGACTAATTATTCATAATATTTTTCAAAATTTTTCTACAAAAAAAAAAAAATATTTATTCTTATTTATTTTATTCTTAACTAAAAATTTGTGATAATCTAAAACTCCATGGATTTATAACTAAAAATTTATTTTGTAATTATTTTTTTCAAAAATTCTAATACAAATTCTTTAAAAAATATATATTTTAGTATATATATATATATCATTTAAAAATTCTAAGAGTCCATCATATAAATTATATAAATTTATTTTTTTCAAAAAATAATCATATTGTAAAAATTTATTTAAAAATCCATGCATAGAAAACAATAAATCATGTTTATCAATAAATAATATTTAAACAAAATAAAAATTAATTTGATGAAAATCTTAATAAGAAATGACAAATTGAAGAAATAAATTTTAAACAATAATAGTAATATAATATAAAATATATTTTTTATTTTAAAATATAAAAACATAGATAAATATATTTATTTCATGCGGTAGATGTGAATATAGTGATAAATATATTTATTTCATAGAGTAGATGTAAATATAATGATAGATAAATTATAAATCAATCCATTTTGTTTTGAGAAATGAATTAATTAATCATTTTGATTTCAAAAAATAATTATTTAATCTTTTTAGCCAGGTTAATTTATTTTTTTATTTCTAAAAATATCTTCTTTTCTCATCAATCTTTTTCATATATTTTATCTATTTTTTATTTTTTTATTTCTTAAAACAAAAGGTCAAAAAAAAAAAAGCAAAAATCACAAAATTAGTTTTTTGAAATCAAATAGACCAATTAATTCATTTCCCTATGAAAGAGAGACTAATTTATAATTTACTCTTAAAGCTCCTCTCCTCTCACAAAAATATGGAGAAAAAAATGCAACTACAGGAGAATTAAATGCTTCATCAAGGAAAGAAAAGGAAATGACTAAAAAAAGGTTAAGTGAGAAATAAAAAAAAGGAGAGTAAGTGAAGAGAAAATGTGGATTTTTATAAATCCACGGAGTGGCAATAAAAATAATTAAAAACAAAAAAGAAAGCCATTTATAATATAAAAGATAAAAAAAGAAATAAAATGATGAAAAAATATAGAAAAGAAAATTAAAAATAGAATCACTTAAAGGCAATAAATCTATCTAGTGACATTAAGAGAAAAAAAGAGATTGTTCATAAGGCAAAAGGTTTTTTTTTAAAAAAAAAACAACTCAATCTACAGTATAATTGAGTGAGAATGAACTGTCTAACATGAAATCTCCATGCCCTTTAATTTCTTTTGTAATGTTTTATTAGATGTTGGATGAGAGTATTAATTTATTCTAATCTTGAGCAACAAATGATTTATTTTGTACTTATCTACAATGAGCAATACTAAATAATATAAATGTACACTGTGTATGTCACCCGTTATTTATTGGCCAGGCTGGCTGGCTCCCCTCCTAGATTACTGACACCTCTATGATAAAATCAAACGGTTACTACAATGCCACCTCATCCAAATAAAATAATGGTCAAAACACCACCCTTGTAAATCGTCTTCTCTCCATGTTTGGTATTTTTGCTTTTCTTCGTCGCTTGAAATTGCTTTTTGATTGTATTTATTAATAGGAAAAACTAATTAAAAGCATTGGTGATATAAAATCCATGGATAGCAAAATGGCAGTTGAGATATTTTTTTGATAAATTTTCGTTAGAGATTTTTGTATCCGTTAATCAAGAAGATGATACTATCGTTAGAGGAAGGAAAGGCAATTCCAAAGGTTGACTTTCATTTGAGAATATTGGGAGAGATATGTTTTACTTATATTTAAAAAATTAAAATAAATTAAAAAAGAAAACAAAAAGAATTAAATTATAGGAAAATTTAAAATTTTGAAAACTAAATAATTGATTGTTGAAAAAAAAAAAAAACTAAAGTAATACATTTCTTAAAATCAAAGAGACTAATAATAATTTACTCAAAAAGTATGGATAAAGGGCTGACTATAGCTGATTGGACGACTCGTTTTGGTCAAGATAAGGTTTGGTTATGGTGAAGTACTATTTATCATTTTTTTTAATACGAGTTTCAAGTGTGATAGTTTGATTGGTTACCCAAACCTTTTTTCCGATCAATTTTCTTTTTCGAATCTTTCTTGTATATTTTTTTTCCCTTGATCTTGCTTGAAAAAAATAATCAGTAATAATATTAAACAAACATAATAAAAAGATTTATTTCGGTGAAAAGAGCTCTGATTGGTTAAATAAATAATTTTGAATTAAAAATTTTTTTATATAAAATTGTTTTTAGATAATTATCCTTAATTTTTACATTCGACAGAATAAAGAGTGATTAGATTTCAGCTTGAGGTATGTTAGAAGATAAAATAATTAAATAATAAAAAAAAAAGGGAAAAGTAACGTAGAAAGTACTTTTGAAAAAAAAAACAAAAAACCCAAGCACAATTCACGGAAGCTGTACAGGATTTTTGCAACCTCGTTGAGACTACTTTTTCTGTGAAACACGCTATGCAGGTTTTGAAAATGAGTGTAGGGTTCAACTTGCAATGAGTTGGTTGAGGATTAATAATGGGCTTTAGGTCCAGAAGTTGAGGTTTCGCCTATTTCCAGTTGGGACCATGGACTGGGTCTAAGGATCCATTTAAATTGATTTTCATATTCCAACAGCCTAAAATTAGGTCGGTTATGTTGAGTCTCATATTGGTTCAGTTTATGGAATAATGAAACGTGTGTTTTTCTTTAGGCTAGGCTAGAAATCCAAGGCGTTTTTGCACTAGTTTTGAAGATAATTTTATTAATTAAAAAAAAAAAGCATTTGTTTTGGGACAGGTTTTTTTTTTGTAAAAAAAAAAAGAAAACATGATTTTATTTGTAAAAATAAAAATGGCAGTTGAATTGATTTTTTATTTTTATTTTTTATATACATAACTTTTACATATATATGTTTACATTCAATTGATTGGTTAAGTTATAAAATTGGGATCAATGTTCTGTCATAATCAACAATAACAACAACCGTGAGAAATTTCCAAAACCAATCATAATATCTTTTTAATATGATTAGATATAGACTGTGATATAGAAAATAGAATTAGATATTAACTATTTCGAAAAAAAGAAATTATAAAAGTAAAGAAATGGATTTGTGTATACTTTTTTTTTCTTGTGATTTAGCTTACACAAATAGAAAAGTAATTAACTTTAAATCATTATCAACGTCCAAAAGATATGATCTAAGGGAAAAAGAATTATTTGGATTTAATCAAAATCAAAATTCAGTTCTCACTATTCATTCATAGCTAATTATAATTATTTTTCAATAGTATCATATTTTGACTCATTTGATCTAATAGAGAGTCTAGTAGCTAACTAGATGCTAAACGTGTTTTGATATTGATTTAATTAAAAAAATGATATATTTAATCTCGTTTAATATGAAAACTGAAATAAGGATACATAAGTAATTATAAATATAAAAAACAATTTAAAAAAAAGAAGAAAAACATGAGTTTGTTATTTTTCGGATCAAATGGGGCTCATCTAAATAAAACATAAGAAATCAAGTGGGAAATACAACACCCACTGACTCCCAGTGGTTCGATCCCTTCAATCCAGATGTCTTAACCATAGAATATTTTTAGAATTGCAACCATTTTAATATATGTATATGTTTTGGTGATACATGTCAGGTTTTGAATCAGAGCATGAAGAACTTGCATGTGTAAAGTTTTTACGAAATGGCATATTTGAATAGGAATTGTTGTGTTTGCTGCTCTAAAACTTTCGCTGCATTTGTTTATCATTATCTCTTATGGCTGATAATGATTTCTTATATATACAGATCTATTCTAATCTTTATGCAAACTCTTTACCTGATGTGACTTGCAATAAGACGTTTTAAGTTAATCAGTAATTACATTAATATTTTCTAATTCACTAAGGCGACTGCTCCACAAAAGTATATATTTGCATGACAAGAAATAACAAATGCTCTAACCAGATCGAAGCATGAACGTCAAACGTCAAACAAAGAATAGTGAAAATAACATGAATATGCGATTCATGAATTACAACAATGTCATGCATTAAACAACATGAATATGCGATTCATGAATTAGAACAAAGTCATGTATGGCATAATAATTGCCCAACTAGTGTGTGTATTTATAAGGTATCAATGTTTTGCAATTTTAAAAATTTATTAGAGTTGTTTATTTGAAATATTGGAGAAAACTAAAAAGTTATTATTCAATTATCAATAACTATTATTTTATAAAGACTCTTTTTGTTCAAATAGAGTTTTTTAAATTCTAATAGACTAAATATTATAAAATGAAGCTTCAAAGTAGCCACCAATGTCATCTGTTATTGTCTCAATGTATAGTAAATAATTAATTTTACCTTTTCAATTTTTATTTTTTTATTCTAATCAGATTTTTCTGTAAAAAAAAATTCAAAATTCATGTGATAATAATTTTTTTTAGTTATTAAATCTATAGGATTTCTACTATTTTATTTCTTTTCTTAAATAGGTTAGAGTTTGAAAGTTACTCTATTTGATATCATGGATATACTTTTATTGCATGGAAGTTTGTAGTTGGGAATACTAAGTTTCGTCAATATTGAAAATTTTGAATATGTAAAAATTTTGTTAATATTCTTGGGACTGACAGACATAAGTCACATAACCACATAATCTGTATAAAAATATTACAGTAGTTTTCTGAATGATTTTAAAATTTTTGTTTGGATGCATTATTCGTTACCTCGACGTAATTTATTTTTTCTATTTTTTGTTTTCATTTTTAGTCTTGTATTTTTTTGTTTTCGTTTTATAGGTTTCAACAAGTAATAATTTCACTTTAGCTGTGTTATAGAGTATACTTTCTTTTTATGCTCTGTATACACAAAATTACATAATTGTAATACAGTGCATACCATACACCTTGGAATTTTTACACAATACCGAAATAGGAATGTAGATGTATGCACCGAAATAGGAATTCGAAATGGTGCAAGGATATTCGACTACCCACAAAGTTAGAAGTCATGGCTCTGTGTATTTTCCATGAAGAACCAAAGGCTTCACCAGAAACTTGATTTTATGCTCTGGAGTCTGGAATCTGGATTGCCACCTCCAAGGATCTATGATACATCCAAAACAGTATGAGGTGATATGAATGCAGTTATATATCAACCAAGTGTGTCACACAATTCTTTCTTTACATCAAATGATTTAGATCTTCATCGCGATAATTTCATTTCAAAAGTTGCTTGAGATATCAGTAAGCTGCTTCTCTTGGTTCCCCAGAAATTCTTCCCAACAAGAAGATTACAGGTTCCTTTTAGAATGACACTGGCAAATTTAATCACCCACCTTTCTGTAAATTGCTGCCAAATCTCAATATCAATAAACTTCCACTGGTTAGCACGCTCGTTGGACATGAGGCATTTGTATCATGATCCTTTCAGTTTTTCAGCACAACTCACGCCTTCAGTTGCTTTACCTGCTACAAGGGAATTTTGATGTTCAGTGAAGGCATAAATACCCGAATGTGAAGAAAAATCACAGTTGAAAAAAATGAATCCACAGGATTCATCAGAGTATTTTTGCTATAAAATAACTGTTCAACTTCACTATAATTCACTGCAGATATAATACAAATGATGGCCATTCCATATTTCTATAATCATGGTAAAGGTTTTCATTAACATTGGTGCATGAGGCCAATGGAAAATTTAACAGCAAAAATGGTTATGTGCAGACATGTAGATATAGATATGCACACATATACTTGCATGTATTGCATAAATGACAGCAAAGCCAAAAAAGGATTTTCAATTGACAATTGAATGATCCCTGCCCAGTTGATTGTCACATGCCAGGGGACTTTGGTTGGCTAAAACAGTGAAACACACCTGACTTTATGGGGCCAATCGACGAATTAGCTTGAATATCCGTTGAAGTGAGTCCTAAATCAGCCTTCTCTACTTCTCTGCCAATATAATCACCACTGATGATCTTTTCAAACTTGATCAGAGCATTAGATTACTTTGATGTTAACAACAATCACACTTGTACTCTTAAAAGAACATGCTCAAATTATTCAATTATCAAATTCTTCTGCAAGCCTTTTTACCTTAAAGCTGTCACATAGAGGATAGACATCCACCCTGTGTTTCTGTTTCCCCGAAAGTTTATGCATTGCATAAAGTTAATGTGGCTCCTTGGCTATTAGATTATGGTCTTGTTGATCTCAGCCTGACATTGGAGGTTTTAAATTAAATACGCCAGGATTAGCACCCAATGTGATGTCACCAATAACCACCACAAGAGCATAAACCTCCCTTAAAGTGATGGAATCGATTTGAATCCCTGACAACAATATCCCGACCTTCTAGAATCGATGTTAACTTAATAACAGTGTGGCAATCCCCACAGACTCTCAGGTTCTTAACAATTTGGAGAGGAGTTCCAGGAGGAGTGCCAATCAATCCAAAAGCCATGGCAAGCCTCTCACTATGTTGAGAGAGAATAGCCTCCTTGTGCTCCTCATCAACATCTTGAAGCACATAGCTAGTATCAGGCTGATAACCAGCATCCTTCAATCGGCTACTCAGCTCTTCAAGTTTTGCATTTATTTGATCGGAAAGGGGGTGAGAAACATCACCAGCCAAAAATGTGTAGGTCTTGTTCTTCACCTCAATCCAGCTGTACCCTGCTACTTTTTTCACTTTCTTATCTTCCATCAATTTCCTTACTTTAGCTCTTTCTTGCCAGTTTCCTACCGAAGCATGCATATTTGATAGCAGGACATATGAAGCTGGATTTTGTGGCTGGAGAGAAATGAGCTTGTCTGCTGCAAGTTTCCCCAGCTCTAGATTACGGTGAACACGGGAAGCAGCCAAGAGAGTTCGCCACACATTTGCATTAGCTGGAAATGGCATTCCATTTATGATTTCCATGGCTTTTCCAAGCATCCCAGCCCGGCTATATAGATCAACCATGCAAGCATAGTGCTCCATTCTAGGCTCAATATGGTGATCCTTCACCATTATATTGAAGTATCTTTGGCCTTCATCCACTAGTCCAGTATGCGTGCAGGCAGAAATAACGCCAATGAACGTTACACTGTCCATCTCCAAGTTTTGCCTCTTCATCTCCTCAAACACTTCAAGAGCTTTCCTCCCATAGCCATGTTGTGCATATCCAGAGATAATAGAATTCCATGACACTACATCTCTCTCCCTTTGCCTCTTGAAGACTTCATATGCACTTTCAATGTTCCCTCTCTTTGAATACATTGTAAGAAGAGCACTACTAACACATAGAGCATTATTGAATCTTGATTTAATTGACCAGGCATGAAGCTGTTTTCCTTGTTCTGCTCCTGCAGTAGGAGCTGCACATGCATTAATGATGCCAGAGAAGGTATACTCATTCGGTTTAATCCCCTCCTTCGCCATTTGTCCAAATATCCTTACGGCACCCTCAGTGTCTCCTATTTGAGCATAACCAGAAATCATTGCCGACCATGCCATGATGTCCTTCTCATCTATACTTTGAAAAACCTTTGAAGCGTCATTAACATTCCCTCGTTTGACATAAGCATCTAAAAGTGCAGTTCCAACAGAAAGTGACTTAGCATAATTGCTTTTGATGGCTTGTGCGTGTATCTCAAAAGGAGAAACACCAGGCTGAGCCGTAAGTATAGTAGAATAGGTAAAATCATTTGGTCTAACACCTTTCCTACTCATTTTGCAATACAGATTAACAGCCTGTTCTGCCATACCATTCTGCAAGTACCCACTAATCATGGCTGTCCATGACACCACATTTTGAACTTCATCATCCATCACTGAGAATATCTTGAAAGCATTATCCATTTCCCCACACTTACTGTAAGCTAGCATCAGTGTAGTCCTAACATTCTTATCATATTCAAACCCACTCTTTAAAACCTGACAATGGAGCTGCCTGGAAAAACCCAATTCCTTAATATTACCACACAACTTAATAACAGGGACAAAAACCATCTTGGTAAGCTTTACACCAGCAAGTCTCATATGGTAAAACACATCCAAAGTCTCTAAATGAAGCCCATTTGTTACCAGACCAGCAACCATACTGTTCCAACTAACAGCATTCCTATCTGTCATACCATCAAAAACAGCTCTAGCATCTCTAATCTTCCCAGACTTAGAATACATGTTAATCAAAGAATTGCAAGCAAGCGTAGCATCCCTGAATCCGTTCTTTATCACCATCGTATGAACTTGAATTCCCTCCTCAACCATCCCTTCATCTGTCAAAGCTCCAAAAACAGCCGAAAAAGTAAAGGGGTTTGGCTTAATCCCCTCCAGTTGCATTCTAACAAACAATTCCAATGTCTCCACATTGAATCCATTCTGCGCGTATCCCGTGAGCAACGAGGTCCACGAAACTACATTCCTCTCCCCCATTTCATCAAAAGCTCTCCTCCCTTCTTTAACACTCTCATTCTTCAAATACATATCCAAAAGTGCAGTACCAACACTAACATCCTCTAAAAATCCGGACTTTAAACTATAATCATGCACTTGAACACCAAAGTTTCTATCAAACAAGAACGAACAAGCTTTTAAAACACAAGAAAGAGTTGACCCATCAATGAAAAAACCCAAACGATGAATTCCCACAAAGAGATTGACGACATTTTTGTTTCTGTTCTCCCTAGAGCATTCAAAAAGCAAGTGGTTGTAGTTCACAAGGCCTAGTTGCGGACTTTTTCCTAACACTTGATGAGCTTCTGCAAAGTTTGGAAGTCTGGACCCTAATTGGAGTTTCAAGGCAACATTGTGGCGTTGTGAGAGAAGTTGGTGAGTGTGGAATTGTAAGTGGGTTCTGAAAGTTTTTAAGGTATGCTTTGTCTGAGGTTTTGTAAGGGTTTTGAAAGTCATGTTTTACTGTCTTTGAAATGACTAGTTGTTGTGACCGGTGACATCTCTAGTTTTTGGCTTCAGAAGAGGAAGTCTGTATCTGAGTGGAAGTGGAATTTTGAGATTATTCGGCCAATTTCAGCAACCTACAAATATGCCCTCTACCTATCAGGTAAGACCGATTAGGTCCCTATTCTTTTGATTGCTTATTTTTAGATATACAGGAACTCAAATAAAAAATAAAATAAAATATTGGATCTTAAATATAAAATTTGACAACAAGAACTAATATATGATTATCTTAACACAAAAGCAAAGCATCATTTATAGATCAAATAAAAGAAAGACAACAAACACCAAAATTATAAGAATAGAGATATTTCTAAAACAAGTTTTGGAATCAAAACCAAAATGATATTTTATTTGATCAATAAATGATGCTTTGCTTTTGTGAATAAATTGAGATATCCTATATATAGAGATATTGAATTTATAAAAACTCTTGAAAATTATGCTTGCAATTTGAATAAATTCCTTTTTTTATAAATAAATTTGAGTAAATTCAATCAAATGGTATTTTATTTTAAAATCTAAAAAATCTAAAAATTAATCTTCTAGTAATTAAAGTTTATAGGGTAATGCCAAGTTTTAGATTCTAAGTGGAGTTAAAACATGGCTCCAGGAACTTATAGTTTTCATGAAAAATCAAGATTTAAATAACTTAAAATTATTGAATATGTGGGACAAGATTGAAACTTGTTTCAAAATATATTGAAAATTTTAAACTATAAGAACAAAAATGAAATATATCTAAACTATAGAGGCTAAACTATAGTTTACTCTATTAGGTCTTGTTTGGTTGTTAAAAATTAGGACACGATTATGGTACAACAAGAAAAAGCACAGGCGCAGCAGTGCTATGTAACAGTTTTAACTCCTGCCAGAAAAAGGAATCATACTGAACCCAACTCGCGATTTATAAAGCAAAGCCCCAGTCTTTCATCCTGTCTTTTTCGAATCTAAACCCTATTTTTTCTTTTTCTCCTCTTTAAAATCTTTTTGCTTTTTCTTTAAATTTAGTACTCTTCAACAGTCGTCTCTTGCACTCTCTTTCTCTCTCAAAAGAACACACACATCCTTCTCTCTCACTTTGTCTCACACACACTCACGCAATCTTTTGTGCTTTTAGATTTTGACCGTTACCAGAGAAAAGAAGTTATCTTCTTGATCTCCTTTCTTTTAACCTCTTCGGGTTTTATAGGGGCTTGGACAGTTCAGAGAGGTTTTTTTTTGTCTGTCAATTTTAGGTCTTTTCTTGTTGAAACACCACTAGTCTAATAACGACTCATTTGGGTTTTTTAAAGATACACTTTTCTTGGTTTATAGTGAAGTAGGTGTTCAATTGTGAAATGGGTTTTGGTTTTGTAGTGTAATTGAGGGTTTTAGTGTTGAAAAAAGTCATGAACTTTGATGCTCTTTTGGTGGGTTTTGAAGAAACAAATTGAAAAGATTGCTTCTTGGGTTAAATAGACAATAAAATAAGATGATTGCTGAGAAACCCAGTTGGGTTAGACATGAGGGAATGCAAATTTTCTCCATTGATATTCAGCCTGGTGGCCATAGGTTCGCCACTGGCGGAGGCGACCACAAGGTATGTTCTTTCTCATCATTAATTTCTCTGTTTGGTTTCCCAGTGTAAAGAGTAGAAAATTAAATCCTGCTGCTTTGTCATTATTTAGGGTTTCTTAGCAGTGAAATTGCTCGTTAATTGTGCATAATTACACTATTTAACTTAGCATGGACTCGTATTGCTTTGTAAATCAGTTTAAGGTAATGCCATTATTAAAACTGGCAATAGAGTGTAATGTACCTTTGTTTTTCAAGCTGTCATTAATTTGGTACAGTATGGATTTCCCTTGGCTGAATGTGCGTTCTTGCTTCCTTTTTTCCTATAGTGTTCAAATATTGTCTTTGCTAATTGCAGTTAAACCTGCCTTATAAGTAGCAATGTGCAAAATCAAACATTTGATGAAAAATTGTCATTACGAGCAAGGCTGCAGTAAAGATCTTGGTGATTGTGGGAAAGCAAGCACTATTTGGTTTAGAATGATTCTAGTTTCTACGGAGTCTTTTAAGGAATTCATGCTTCTATTTCTTTTTCCCTATTGATTTTTCTTAACTTTTTATGATTTTTATGTTGAAGATTTTCAGGCAACAGATAAAACTTGTGATGCCTTTCTGTTTCTGCTTTCAACTTTATGTATGATTTCTAATTGTGCACTCTGTTGAGGTGACATTATGTTATTGAAACAACTAACTGCTTTTATATATACTATAAAATGCATGATGAGACATCAGTAGATGCTAGATGCCTAGAATCTATGGTTAAGTTGTTGTCATGGAAGCCAGAGGTGTTATTTTTGGATTAATTTTTTAGGCTTCAATCACCAATAGCAATGTGTTCAGTGAATTAACTCATGGTAATGTCTGTTGTTTTTGAGTTGCATACGTAAATGATAACATGGCATTATTCTTCTGGATTCTGGTAATTCTGGAGCTATAAACGCTAGTTCATTGAATAGCTGTTATGAAGTACAACACATAACCCTTCATAGTAATATGTGAACTTGGTAATGATGAAAAAGGGTTGGTGGTAGCAATGTGTGACTTCCATGTTGCTTTCACAATTCACTTCAAGGGTTTTGGTAAATTGTAATTCATTTTTACTGATAAATATGAAATTGGTTTCTAACCTAAATGCATTATTAAGGAGGCATATTTTTAGCAAAAAATTCCTGCTTAACATTGCTTCACCTTCTTCATTGTGCTGAATGTTGGAATGCATATGATTATGACCAAAGATTCCTATCTAAAGGGGATGATCTTGTGATTTTGTTCTTTTTGTCTTTGTTACTCATACCAAATTTTGTCAGGAATTTCTATAAGCACTTGATTATGACATCTTTTTTTTTCCTCTAATCGTATGCAGGTTCGGATATGGAACATGAATTCTGTTAGCAGGAACTTGGAAATTAACGAACCAACACAAAGGCTTCTTGCAACCCTCCGTGATCACTTTGGGTCAGTCAATTGTGTTAGGTGGGCAAAGCATGGTCGATATGTTGCATCAGGGTCTGACGATCAAGTGATTTTAGTTCATGAAAGGAAGCCTGGTTCAGGAACTACAGAGTTTGGCAGTGGAGAGCCTCCTGATGTTGAAAATTGGAAAGTTGCAATGACATTGAGAGGGCACACTGCAGATGTGGTAATGAAATTGCTTTTATTACTGAAAAGCTTAGACAATACATGAAAGTGAAATCATTCACTCTTAATGTTTCTGAATCTAGCTTCTTGCTGCTTTTTTTTTAAAAAAATAAGCTGTCACTGTCCTTAATAACTATTGGTTCCTGATCGTGCACACAAACACACTACATGAAATGTGAAAGTTTTCATCATCCTCTCAAATTGTTTTCTAATCAAGTTTCTTGCTGCCTTTTTTATTTTTTACTTTTGAAAAGCTGTCGTTTTCCTTAACAGACGTTGGCTACTTAACACACATATACACAGCACTACATGAATTGAAGCCATTCACGTGCATTGTTTTTTAACCGAGTTTCTTGCTTTTTTTTTTTGTTTTAAAAAACTGTCATTTTCCTTAATAAATAGCGCTCTTGAGAACACATATACGTTTGAACTTGCACATGCTTTCTTATATAGATATATTTTATTTGACTGGTTTGGATGGTTCCTCCTTAAACTATTGGGTTGCATCCACATGCCAGGGATAAACAAATGAAAAAAAAATGATGATGAGACATTCAGTATGTGTTTTAATTGCCCCTCTTAATTTGTGAGAGTAATTTCTCATGGTCCCATTGGGTGTCATCTAACCGGGAAGTTGTTTTCCATGCCTAAAGTAGGTGGATCTTAATTGGTCTCCAGATGATTCCATATTGGCTAGCGGAAGTCTGGACAACACTATCCATGTCTGGAATATGAGCACTGGCATTTGCACTGCTGTTCTTAGAGGTCACTCTAGCCTAGTTAAAGGAGTTACTTGGGATCCGATTGGCTCTTTCATAGCAAGTCAATCTGACGATAAGACAGTTATTATATGGCGAACAAGTGACTGGAGTCTGGCTCACAGAACAGATGGCCACTGGGCTAAATCAGTATGTATCTTTCTTAATTTTTGATTTTCTTTCATTCTGTATATTATATTTACTAACCTTGGTGTGTTATTTTCAGCTTGGATCTACATTTTTTAGGCGCCTAGGATGGTCTCCCTGTGGCCATTTTATAACCACAACTCATGGTTTCCAGAAGCCAAGGCATTCTGCACCTGTTCTCGAGAGAGGGGAATGGGCTGCCACATTCGATTTCTTAGGACACAATGCCCCCATCATTGTGGTGAAGTTTAACCATTCAATGTTTAGAAGGAATTTTGCCAATGCTCAGGAAGTGAAAGCTGCACAAGTTGGGTGGACTAATGGGGCCTCAAAGATTGGAGGGAAAGAATCACAACCATACAATGTTATTGCAATTGGAAGTCAAGATCGCACTATAACTGTATGGACAACTGCAAGTCCTCGTCCTCTTTTTGTGGCCAAGCACTTCTTTACTCAAAGTGTTGTTGATTTATCCTGGTAAACTTGATATTTCCAGAAAAGATATCACCATATTTTATGTATCTGTTTCCCTATTCTAGTGATTCTTGCTTTTGTTTTCATCATTGTGACTGTTCCTTTATCTAATTTATCTTTCTTCTTTTCTTACAGGAGTCCTGATGGGTATTCACTTTTTGCTTGTTCCTTGGATGGTACGGTGGCTACTTTTCATTTTGATGCTAAAGAACTTGGACACAGGCTAAGTGATACTGAACTCGATGAGTTAAAAAGAAGTCGTTATGGTGATGTCAGAGGTCGACAGGCAAACCTAGCAGAGAGTGCTGCACAATTATTGCTTGAAGCATCAGCCAAAGAAACAACAAATAAAAAAGTGGCATTGGATATTAAGCAAAGTCAGATACCTGTAAAATCTTCTGTTGATTTGGGGGTCACTGCAAAGACTTCTGAGCCTCAAGTTGATGATGGCAAGAAGAGTGCAGGAGCTGCTGGTGATGGACTAAATAAAGTACCAACTTCTGCTCGGATTTCAAGTCCAGTAAAACAAAGAGAATACAGACGTGCTGATGGTAGAAAGAGAATCATTCCAGAAGCTGTAGGCGTGCCCAATCAACCAGAAACAATGGCTGGTGGGGCTCAGTCTCAAACTCTTGATTTCCCTCATGCGGCATCTGATCACAGAAAGGTTGAAAATGGAATGGTTCCTGTTGATGGTGGCTTGCGAGAGAGTTCTGTCAGGGGAACACTTGGCAGAAGCTCTGATTTAAAAGAGCGCTCTGGTGTCACTGCAAGGGCTGCCATTACTGAGAGCCTGGTCATTGAGAAGGTTCCAGGTTCTGTTGGAGGAGATGGAAGCATAAATGTGGAACAGTCTGGGATAAACACATCCAGTTCATCCAGTTCTTGTAGCACCGCTCTCTCAATTAGGGTATTTGATAAGAAATTAGGGGATGCCACACCAATTTGCATGGAAGCTCGTCCTAGAGAACATGCAGTAAATGACATTGTTGGGGTGGGAAGTACAAGGATGATGAAAGAAACAGAAATTGCTTGCACAAGAGGGGCTGAAACTCTTTGGTCTGATAGGATCTCAGGAAAAGTGACTGTTTTAGCTGGAAATGCAAACTTCTGGGCAGTTGGCTGTGAAGATGGATGCCTACAGGTAACTGAACCTCCTCCGTGTCCATATGGCCCAAAGCTGTTTTTCTTGAACTGTTTTAAGTTTTGAACTGTTCTCAACATTGGATTAAATCACAAATTTGTTTTCTCGTCCAGAGAATGAAAAATATTTCATAACATAATTTTTTAATAGTAAAAAGAATAGTTCTGTAGTCTTCCACTGATCACTGGAGTGTTTTAAAATCACCAGTTGCTTTAAAGCAATTTATTAATTTATCTTATTTTGACTCAAGTATGTTTCCGGAACCTTCCTAATCAACTGTTAAGCTAATCTGTTTGTTAAAAAAACTGTGCATATATAGATTTTTCAGAATAATTGAGACGGAACTGCTTTATGTATATAGTCGTTAATTAGTTGATCAAACATTAAGAAGCTCAATGAGAGGCAGTGCAGCCACAATTAAAGAATTCAGTTCTTAAACTTGCCCTTCTCAACAGGGGAAACTCTGTAGCCACATATTGGGATATTGGCCACACTGAGAGAATTGGACTGTTGTCTCGTGAATTTGGATTTGGGGGACCTAAATTTAATTTCAATGTTTTGATGCAATATGTCATCATGGTCTTGGGTATGCCCCTTCCAGTGGACATCAGAATCTCTTAATTTTTATTTTATTGATTTTTGTTTACCCTTAAAATTGTGGGTGGACTGGTAATCCAATCTCTTGCACATTCTTTTCTTGAATAACACAGCAGTTATAAAAGACTAGACACTGATGCTTCAACTCATATTTGATCAAGACATCAAGGCATGTGGTGGATTATTGACATCTTTGTTGTAGATATAGTTCCTCTTTTGGCAGTTATGTTTCATATCGTATTAGGTTTCTTTGAGTTGATTAAAACTTCTTATAATCTAAATGTTTTGCTGATGTTTGAGAAGGTTTACACCAAGTGCGGGAGACGTGCCATGCCAACTATGATGATGGGAGCTGCAGCAACTTTTGTTGATTGTGATGAGTGCTGGAAGTTGTTGCTGGTCACAAGGAAGGGATCCTTGTATTTATGGGATCTGTATAGCCGGAATTGTCTCCTTCAGGATTCTTTGGCATCTCTAATTACCACAGACCCGAACTCTGCAAAAGGTTAGGTATCTTATGATATAATATTGAGCCCAATTCAGAGCGGATGCTGCTCTTAAGTCTTATGTGGAGCATTCACAGCTCATAAAATCTTTTTATGTGGGGTGTCATTGGATGCTTTATGGTATTTTCCTCTCTGTTTCAGGGACAATCAAAATTATATCTGCAAAGTTATCAAAATCCGGTTCTCCTCTTGTGGTTTTGGCCACACGTCATGCCTTCCTCTTTGACATGAGTCTTATGTGCTGGCTGAGAGTGGCAGATGACTGCTTCCCTGCATCAAATTTTGCTAGCTCCTGGAATTTGTGTTCAGTTCAGAGTGGTGAGCTAGCTGCATTGCAGGTGGATGTGAGGAAATATTTGGCCAGAAAACCAAGTTGGAGCAGGTATTCATCCATTGCAACAATTTTCTTTTATTCTCTGAATTTTTAATTGAGTCTTAGATTTCACAATATTAAAAATGCTAACTAGAAATAGTGCACAAACGCATCTGTAACATTTTTCTGACTGCGACTCAGCTACTGACTGCTGAATTTATTTCAAAAAAAAAAAAAAAAAGGGAGACAAAAACGAATAGCAACTAATCTGACTCTCTTGAAATTCTGATCATTTCATTTAATTTCCTTGATTAGTTGCCAAATTTCCCAAGTAATCATTGGACAATGTCTCTGGTTTTCTTGTGCGACTTCTGTAGTTCATATTTTTTTATTCATGCATCTAGCTTCTACTGCTTGACATGTGGTGGTGCTGTTTTCACAGAGTGACAGATGATGGAGTGCAGACACGTGCTCATTTGGAGGCTCAGTTGGAGTCCTCCTTAGCTTTAAAGTCCCCTAATGAATATCGCCAGTGCCTTCTATCCTACATACGCTTCCTCGCAAGGTGTTTTTTTTTTTTTTTTTTTTGGTAGTAGACTTCTTATTTGCTTATTTGTCCCCCGTGTTTATGAAGGACAGTTGGTACATATGGGTCCTTCCTCTTGGCTGTGTCTATGTATTCTATTCACGTAAGTGTTAACTTTGGTTGCAGAGAAGCAGATGAGTCTCGTTTACGAGAAGTATGTGAGAGTTTTCTTGGACCTCCTACTGGGATGGCTGAATCTACATCTTCAGATTCAAAAACGGTGTCTTGGGATCCTTGTGTGCTTGTAAGGTTTTCTGTATACCATTTTTAGTACCTGACCCTTACTTTTCTCAGCATATTGTATTCTGTGATGGTTATTCTACAGTATGCTCTTATTAGTATACTTTACATAGGATTACATGTTGAGCACTATACATTCAGTTGCTTTTGAAATCATAACTCCTTCTCTGCTTATATACAGAAACTTTATGATTCAATCCAATTTTAACGAATTTTTCTCCCTAAACATCCACATGACAAAAATCCCTTTTGAGGCATCTTTCCTTGGTTTACTCCCTTTTATTTGTTATTTTGTTTCTTGCCATTGTTTAATGTTTTTTCTAACCCCCATTCTGGTCTCTGCAGGGAATGAGAAAGCACAAACTCTTAAGAGAAGATATTCTGCCGGCAATGGCATCAAATAGAAAAGTCCAACGTTTACTAAATGAGTTCATGGATCTCTTGTCTGAATATGGAAGTGCAGAAACTAACCTTGACCAAAAAACTCCCATGCTACCAACTACATCTCAACAAGCAACAAGTCAAATGGATTGTGATCCACCAGTAACAGAGCAAATGTACACTGCCCCACAAGCAATAGATCATTCAAACTCTGCCCAACCAGCAAAAGATCACGAGGACCCTACCCCCATTGTACCTGATGAAGCAGACCATACTCCACTGGCTGTTGATCAAGTAGATTCGTGCCCGATGGTAACAGATCAAGTTATTCAGGATTCACTTGACAGAGAAGCTGGTTCTTGAATTCTGCTTTTAACCAATAGGATTGATGTTAAAGACATTAGCGGACTGACACATGGTGTTGCGGAAGTGGATATCGGTACATATATACCTCATGATTCATCTTGTCATCCACATATTCCTGGTCAGAAGAGATAAAGGTCATTGGTATTCGAGAAGAAAAAGTCTCCTTCCAGTGAATTGACTGGTGCTTCTCTTTCAACTTTCTTTGATGCTGAACCTGAGTATGTAACAAAAAATCTCATATTCAGTTAGCTAACTGTTATTTTATCGGCTACTTATAGCTTTCTGTAATCAATTTTCTTATTCCTTGTACAAGTTTAATCATAATGTCAATCAGATATTCATTTAGAAACTCCCATCTCTCAGATTGAAAAGATAGGTTCTCTTGTTTTTTCAGCTTGTATATTTGCTTTCGTCTCTTATTTTTGTCATTTATTTTCATTTCAGTGTTGCTTATTTGGCTAGCTAGGTTCCTTGCTTTCAGCTTGTTTGGAACATGAGTTGGGGTCTGCATTTATGCCCTCTGCCACTGTTTTAGCTGCTGCATTGAGTCTACCATTGGCAGAGGAGGTGTAGGCGAGCAGCAAATTCGTCCTCTTTCGATGAGTCTGGCAAAGAATGTAAAACCTTGCAGGTTAAACAATTAATTCGAGGGTAAAATAATCATGTCCATCGGGTTGAGAGGAGCCATTATGTAAAGTCAGTATTTCACCTGGGGCAATGAGCAAGCCCAAGGCGGTGAGTGAATTCTGTACTGTTTCAGCTTTTTTTAGCTTAACACATGCCAAGTAATTTTGATGGTGTAAGTGAAAAATTGATCAATTGACTTCATCTTGAATGATGCAACTGAACAATCCCAATTATTTTATGTGTGCTTCAAAAAAAAATGGAACGCTTGTGTCAAAAAGAAAAAAAGAAGAAAAGAAAAGAAAAGAAATTCCACGATTTAGGTGTTCATATGTTTTAATAGGTAATAGTATTTTGGATTAGTTTTTGGATATTAAGAGATTGTTTTTATTATTATTATTATTGATTTTGAAAGAAGCTAACTGAGTCAAACCTCCCTTGAACTGTAGTGTCTGAAATTCTGATTCTGGGTTTGACCTTTTTGGATTTTATTTTATTATTGTTGTGAGCTTTAGTCCATTCTTTAGTTTTTTTTTTTATTATTATCAAAAATGATAATCACATAAATAGCTCTATGATAAAAATTATTCAGTAAATTTTATCTAAAACTCTTTTAAAAAATTTAGAATTATTCCAGATTTTTTTTCAATTTTTCTACATTTTTAATATTCAGAAAATAAACAAATATATTTTTTGTTCTTTAAAATTCTGAAATTTTATTAGAAAAGGAATTGGATTTTTTCCTATTTGTGTGCAAAATTTTCAGTTCAAAATATCAAAAATATTTTTTTAAAATGAAAGAGTGATAACTGAACATCATAGAATTGAGTAAATCTTTTTTCTTAAAAAAAAATCATGAAGGTCGAATTCAAATAGAAGTTCAAGAACTGATATTCAAATGAATTAAAATTCAGATAAATTTTGACTCGTTGAACCTTTCATTTGAATTGGTATATTTACGAAAAAAATATTTTTTTATGATATTTTCTAAAATTGGATTTGCTAAGGGTTATAAAGACACGTGAAGAAGCACGGAAATTATTTAGTTTCCAATCCTACCAATGATGCATGGAATGGAAAGAATTAGAAATTCAGTAAAAAAATCCAGCCAAGGTGGACAAACCATCGAATTAGAAAAATAATTGTGTTTAATATATTTTTTTAACATCAGCTTAAACTAATTAATCTTTTTCTATATATATTAAAAAATTACTAATCAAATATTTATGGTACAAATGGTTAGTTCTTGTTCCACGTATTTCTTTCTTTAAGAAGCTGTCATTGTTAACATGGTGTTTCTGAATTAATTACTATTAGCTTAATGATATGATTAAGATACCAGCTCTTCCCTCTCTTTCCTTTTTCTGAAAAGTTTTGAAGACCGGTCATTGTACAATATCTTAAACTTGTCGGCCAGTCATTTTAGATCTTTTTCTAAGCGCTAAATTCATTGAATCACCCTTAACCATTGGCAAACTAGTTTGATCATTTGAGGGGAATTGACGATACACAAGAGAGCTCTTTGCCGCGTTAACCAGTCATGAGGGCGATAGAACGAAGGGCAAGCGTGCTCTATGAACAGTTTTTGTAGTCCTATTCGAATTCATGTGTTTAAAAAAAAAAACGTACTATCTCATTAAACTAAAAAATCGTAAATCAGTTCCCTTACTGTAATTTAAGTTTTTTTTGTAATTTTTAAATTATTTTATTTTGATTTTTTAAATTTTAAAATAAAATTTTTAATCTCCTATCTAATGCACTACATATGTCTTTTCTTTTCTTTGGTTTTTTCCTTTATTTTTTTCCACCAATTTATGTTTGTTTGTTTATTTATTTATTAGGGTGTTAAGATTTTGTAAAATCAATTGTTATTTTTTTTCACACAAACTAACGATTATACAATATATATTATGTGTTTTAAAATTTTAAAATAAATATATAATACTCTTATTGTTTAAAATTGATTTTTTTCAATTTATTATAAAAATTCTCATTAAGTTAATTTTTATTCTTATTTTTTATATAATTTTATTTATTAATAAATATGATTTATTTTCTCTATATATGGATTCGAATAAGTTTTTTTTATACCTGCTTTTATTTACTTAATTCTTATATAATCAAATTTTAAAAATAGAATATATGTATTTTATTTTCTTATTCTTTATATAAACAAATTTTATCGAAATCAATATTATGATTTTTATTGTACTATATTAACTTCAATGTATATTTTACAATTTAATTTTTTTAAAAAAATTCAATTTATGCTCTACATTTTTACCCATTGCGTACGATCATGATATATAAAAAATAATAATATTAGATTCATTAATTTTATTAAAAATCAGCTATGCGTCTACATAAAATACCAACTATTTGTTATTATTTTTTAAAATATTTTAAAATTAATTTTTTTAAATAAAATAATTGAAATAATATTTGAAAATAACCGTCTAATAATTCAAATACAATTTTGTATATTAATATTATTCATTATTTTGTAAATAAATATATATAAATCAAATGTGCATATTTAAAAAATAATAATAATCTTCTCATAAGTAAAAAAGCTTCATTTGTTAATTTCTTATAAGTTTTTATATTAATTTTTGCTTTATTTCTTCGATATAATGTTCTGAAAAAAATATTAAGATATTTTTTTAATTTTATATTAAAAAAATTTTATTACTGATTTTTATTTAAGAATAAATTATATTTTTTTGACTTCAAAATTTATTCAAAACATAAAATGAAATAGTGATAACTGAATATCATAGAATTGAGTGAATCTTTTTTTTAAACAAAAATTGGAAGGTCTAATTCAAATAGAAGTTCAAGAACTGATATTTAAATGAATTAAAATTCTGAGAAATTTTGACTCATTGAACCTTTCATTTGAATTGATATATTTACGAAAAAAATATTTTTATATGATATTTTCCAAAATTGGATTTGCTAAGAGTTATAAAGACAAGTGAAGAAGCATGGAAATTATTTAGTTTCCAATCCTACTAATGATGCATGGAATGGAAAGAATTAGAAATTCAGGAAAAAAATCCAGCCAAGGTGGACAAACCAACGAATTAGAAAAATAAATATGTTTAATATTTTTTTATTTTTCAATTTTATTTGAAAATATCTTTTTACTTAACAATCATAAGTATTATCAAATTAACTTGAACATTACCTTAAACTAATTAGTCTTTTCTATATCTATTAAAAAATTACTAATCAAATATTTGTGGTACAATTGATTAATTCTTTTTTTAAATCAACATATTGAAGTTTCTTTGAAGAATTAATTTATTATAATTTAAATTTATAATTTTTTATTATAAGAGATCACTGGAACGACGACTTTGTTCACAGTTGATTAATTCTTGTTCCACGTATTTCTTTCTTTAAAGAGTTGTCATTGTTAACGTAGTGTTTCTGAATTAATTGCTATTTGCTTGATGATGATTAATATACTAGCTCTTCCCTCTCTTTGCTTTTTCTAAAAAGTTTCGAAGACCGATCATTCTACAATATCTTTAACTTGTCGGCCAGTCATTTTAAATCTTTTTCTAAACGTCAAATTCATTGAATAACCCTCAGCCGTAGGCAAACTAGTTTGATTATTTGAGGGGAAAAAAAAGTTGAATTGACAATACACGAGAGAAGTCTTCGCCGCATTAGCTAGTCGTGAAGGTGATAGAACGATGGGCAAGCGTCCTCTATGAACAGTTTTTGAAGTGCTTTTTGAATTGATATGTTTTAGAAACACGTACTGTCTCATTACTAAGAAGGTCGGGGGCTTGAATAGTGATTTTCATTGTTAATCCTTCCATAAATTATTATTCACTTACTATAGTTTAAGGTTTTTTTTATTTTTTAAATTATTTTATTTTGGTCCTTGAAATTTTAGAATAAAAAATTTAATCCCTTAGCAAATGTATTACACTTGCTTAATAATTAATTTTATTAAAAATCAACTATGCATCTACACACATAATATCAACTATTTACTATTATTTTTTTAATATTTAAAATTAATTTTTTTAAATAAAATAATTGAAATAATATTTTAGAATAACCATCTAATAATTAAAATATAATTTTGTATACTAATATTATTCATTATTTTGTAAATAAATGTATATATTTAAACAAATAATCTTCTCATCGGTAAAAAAGCTTCATTTGTTCATTTTTCATACATGTTTTTATATTAATTGTTGCTTTATTTCTTCTATGCAATGTTATAAAAAAAACATATTACGATTTTTTTAAAAAATTTATATTAAAATTTGTTTATTATGGCTTTTTATTTAAGAATAAATATATAAAAAAGAACAAATCATATTTTTTTTAACTTCAAAATGTATTCA